GTTTATATACAAGAAATATGAAGAATTTTCATCATTTTGGTAGAATCTTTATCGACTGTTTGATGAGGAAAATAGGTTTGAACAGATCTTTTAAGAATCTGCAAACCGATATCATGAAACAAAGGTGCCATAGTAAAAAAAAGTTTCTTTCCAATTATTCTATTTTATTGAGTCAAATAATTGTATTGATAAGTATTGAAAGCCAATAATGTTCGATTATTAATCCACAGTCAACTGATTACTCTTATTTTCATCAGTAGAATAACACTTTGTTTCTGAAGATAGAGAAATTACTACTCTGACTTTGGTAAGGCCAATGCGTGTAGTTAATATTGTTGAATACAAAGATCAAGTTGAAGACTATGAGATGCTATTGATTCATTAATGTGTAGATGACATATATTCGAAGTCATTTGGAAGTGTATGGAGACACTCTGTTAATTACCTTGAAGGAACTACTAGAAAGAGTCAGTTGCTTAGAGATGACATGGTGTTCAGGTATGAAACTGGCTGTTATTCCTTCTTTTTCCATCACATATCCAAACTTGATGTCCCACAATTTTTTCACGGATTTGACTCTATGTAGTCCGTTGTTTCCCGTTATACAACTGCGAGACATTGGCGTTGAAAGTGAGAGACATGAAGTGATTACAAGGTTTTGATCATAGATATCATCACAGCATTCCTAGCATGTAGTGGAAACACCATCTGAGCGACGTTGAAGTCAGGCGAAGAGTACTAGGCAAGACAGGCACGTCGACTGGTGAGGTTGTGAACCTTAGTCGACCGAGATGGCTTCGTCATGTGTTGCGCATGCCGATCCACTGCTTATCTCGATGTGCCATGCTAGGGGAAGTTGGATTAAGTTGAAAGAGGGTTGAAAGTGGCAACAGTCAATGAAGACCCTGACTATTGGCCTGAAGAATCAGTGGTTGAGGATTCTTGGTGAAATGGCTAGAAATCGATCATAATGCAGCAGATATATTCACCACTTTACTTCTTCTATAGCTTGAATATTCATACTAAAATTTACCTTGAGACTGTTTATTCTCTTATACAGTTGACTAATTTGATATCACCGCATTTATATCCATCTGTTCTTCGTGTACTTCTGTGAGATGGAACAAGTTGGCCAGATCCACTCCTGCACGATGTTCTACGTTGATTTTGTAAGTATTCAGTCACACATCTAATGCACTTAGTTTCACAGAAAGGAATAAACTAAAGGAAGTATATGGATGTGGCTAAAAACTGTATTCTATTCCTAATACACTAACGAATTGTCTACTGAAGGATACGATTCTTATGCTGGCTTCTTGAAATATTTTTCTCAAAAATCTTGGGAGGCTATTTTCAAGGATTTCAGATGCGGTACCATTATTAAACTTTTTCTTGAGACGATGGATAATTTTGAATGTAACCTGACCAACAATGGACTGGATGGTTTGAAAAATATTGGGCAACAAGGTAGTATGATTCACTGTATAAGGCGTATTTTTATTTGTGTAATCATGGCGTAGTATATCAGAACAAATGATAAAATAAACGAATATTTTTATTACTCCTCAAGATATCATTCATACTTCATGTGTTATCAAAAGTACCTTTATCATTATTATTATTATTATTTATTTATTATATACTGTCTGATGTTCAAATATTCATCCTTACAAACTAGTAATCTATTCTTTCTCACCCTTGATGATTCACAACCCCATAGTAATATTCATATACGAACTAGAAAATTTTCCCACCCTATTTTTGTTCCACCTTACTCGTACAACTGAAGAAAGCCTCTCTGCCCGAGTTGCTTATTCACTCACATGTATCACATAGATCTTTGCTCTATATCACGATGTAATTGCATGATTGTAAAGGTCACCTACAACCTTCTGTACCAAAACTTGAATGTTAACCTCAAGAATTGATGTTAGATTCATACAAAAAGTTGAGGAATGATACAAAATATCTGTTTACTTTGTAACTTGTTCTGACATACTAAGCCAGGATTACACAAGTTACAAAATACATCTGAAAACATGAATGATGCGTAAGCATGTATTTGTCTTCCTATCGACTGATCAATACCCTATACAATCAAACACCCGAAATAAATCAAATCATCGAAAAGAAAACAATCTTTTTCCGTCTTTCTTATGTGGTATAGCATGAAAATATACTGTTCACTGATGAAAAATAATAGACTCCACCAAAATGGACACACACTAGAAACCAGATCGACTTCGCTTCAGTCTCGAAAAAGAGGAGAAACAGCCTAACAAACAAAAGATCAGATGAAGAAGGGAAGCACATATAGGTTCACACCACTCACACCACTATCTAGTCAGTGCAACAAACCTACCTCAAAATCAAGTTGAAAGCCTTCAAACAAGTTGGTGATGATAGACCACAGTTCACGCTGAACACGCAGAACAGAAACCGAACGAAGAAACTTCAAGGGACATCTACACGTCAGCCGTCAGAACAGAATCGGAGACACTGAGCAACATCCCTGAAAGATGGGGTGTGGAAAACACTGGAAATCTTTGAAAGAGATGTGGAAAGAAACCTGCATAACCGTATTGGGAAGGGAGAAGAAAGAAGAGGCAAGACAAGGAATGGATTTCGATGGACACATGGAGCTGGTAGACGAGAGGAAGATGGTGAAGCAGAAGATGAACCAGTGTAGTGCGAGGATGCACAACGAAGAGAACAACTGAGTACAACAAATAAAACGCTACAGTGGACAAAGAAGTGAAGAAGAGTGCGCACAAAGACAAAAGACACTTCCACGACACACTGACAAGTGAAGCAGAACACGACGCTGATAGGAGAGACGTGAAAACATTGTATTAAATAACCAGATTACTATCCGGGAAGACATCAACTCAGACGAAACCAATTAAAGAAAGTGAAGGAAAGCTAGTTAGCAAAGAGGAGAAGCTGTGGAAACGATGGAATGACCACTTCGAAAAACTCATGAATCCATCACCGCTACCACCACCACCACCAACACCAACACCTGCAACTCGTCCACAAATACCACCACCAGACCAGTCACAGAACTACCAGTGAACACAAGCCCTCCGACAAAAGCAGAAGTGATGTCCTGAACGCCACAAAGTTGCTGACATCTGGGAAAGCAGCAGGACTAGATGGGATTCTGCCAGAAGCACTGAAAACAGACGCAGACACAACAGTGGATTTCCTCACACCACTACTGCAGAAGGTTTGCAAGGAAGGAAGGAAAAATAGCTGTCACTCGATTGGAAGAAGGGCTACCTTGTCGAACTCACAAACAAGAGAGACCTAAGTCTTTCCTTGCAAGAACTGACGAGGAATCATGCTCCTGTCCACACCAAGCTAAATATTACGCCACATCATCTCAGAGAGACTAAACAGTACTCTGCATTCAAAATTACAACTGAGACAAATTGTTGGCTTTGAGGAAAGCAAATCATGTGCGGATCAAATTACAACACTACACTACGCATCATCATAGAACAAAGCATAGAATGGCAGTCAACTCAAATCAACCTCCACTTCATCGACTTTGAAAAGGCCTTCGATATCGTCAATCAAGAAGTAATTTGGCAGCTGGTGCAACAAAAATTTATCAACCTCATTCAACAACTATATGAAGACGCCACATGCCAAGTGATTCACAGTGTAAAGCTCAATGACGCTTCGAAGTGAAGTGAAGTGAAGACAGGAACGAGTAAGACAAGGCTGCCACCTACTGTCACACATGATCTTCATCATTGTGGTCGACTGGACTGGATCATGCAGCGAACCGGGGGAAGCAAGAAGATGAGCATACGCTACCTGGATCGATGTGAAGAGCCTAGAAGATTTGGATTTCACCAACGATGATGATTTATGTCTAATGTCTGATGTCGCACAAACTCGAAGATCTACAGGCTAAAACTAACAGGTTGACAGAAGAGGCGAGGCAGCGAGGGAGGGGGGGCACTTCCTTCACGTGAACGTAGAGAAGACAGAGGTGGAGAAGATACTCAACCAACAACAACAAGCACCAATCACCATGAACGGGAGAAATCCAAAGGAACTCGTCTCTTTCACCTACCTCGGCAGGCAGCATCATTTCAACTACAGACGGTTGCACAGTCAAGGATGTCATAACCAGAATCGGAAATATAGCAAGACAGGTCTTCCTTCATTAATCTGAAATAATCAGTGTGGAGATCTGATGCACTGCACTACACTCAGCATACAGTGTGAACAACATCCTGATTTCCCACACTAATTCCGTCAAGTAAGTCAGTGCTTCTATGTGATTGTTGAGAGACTTAGCGGCGTATTGCGAAAAGCACTTCCAACAAACTACAGACACACATCACATCAACAGCTGCCGTCTACGCTCACTCGATACTCAAGATCAGATGGCCAGAATAGTTAGAATGAGTAACAAGGAATTCACTCTGACTGGTCCCGTAACGAAATAACCAAGAACCTATCACCCAACAAATATGCAGAAGAGAGTGGAGATGAATTGGATTGAACATGATATACACTGAGAAGACAGTTTGAGGACATCACATTCCAGGCTAGACCCACGAGTGGAATGCAAATGGGAACCGACGAGTTGGGTGTTCGAGGTGAGGTTGATATGGAGGCGATTGTGTGAGGATGAAATGGAGAGTTGTTAGCAGTGTTGGAGCCAGGTTGAGCCAGACTACGGAGAATAGAGTGAGATGGTGATGTTCAACTGAAGCCCTATGTTCCACAGGGAACTCAGGGTGAAAAAAAATAATGAAAATTGATGTCAACTTATGAACTAGTGAGAAGTATAAATCTCCCAAGAATTTCTCTCATTCTTATTCTAAGCTGTTTTTGAGTTCTTATTCATATACAAACATATCGAAGTAATTATCACTGAAGACGAGAAGAAAATAATCATATCCTAATATGGTGATTGATCATCGTTACAAAAAGCATGTTAATCAGTTTAGTTATAAACATGATAAAATATCACTTACTTGTTTCGTTTGTGTAGTGAATAAATTCAATTCTTCAGAACGATTAAGTTGTTGTAGATAATCATGTCGCATAGAAAAAACAATATCCATAGCTAAATCATATTTGATAGCTAATTCAAGTGCTCTGTTGTAGATGATTGAGTATATTGATACGTGTTATTAATTAATAGAATGTACAAAATTAAAGAAAGGGAAATAACATTGTTATATACATTTGCTTAGTGACCACATTGCAAAAATAGTCGATAGAATTCTGTATGTACTCAGGACTAGACAATTTGAAATTGGTTAGTCTTCTGTGATTAATCAGTGGCTCTAATCCAGTCCTACAAGAGGTTATTCGAAACCTGAATATGAAGTAATGGAGAATATTTGTAGCTCAGGTGGATGTTCTTGGTTGTATTGTGTTCTCTGAGCTGAGTTGTTTAATTGTGAAGCTTTCATCGACTTGCTAGACGACATTATCAGCACTAACTTCAGTATGAAGTGAGCTGTCAGTATCTCTCCATGAGTGATTTTGTAGCTTGCTTTGACGATCTGGTCTGTGACTGGTTGTTTCCTTCGATTTTTGTGTCATTGATTGTATAAACATTCCTGTTGGCTGTTCCTCTGCTTCACCTCTGATCTTTCTGTCGTTTATCATTTTTCTTATTGGTTGATAAATCCGGTCTATTTCTATATATCTATTGATTGCTGAATGAGTGACAAAATATCGTGGCATCAGAGCAAGCTACTAAATCACTCACTAAGAGATATTTATAGCTCACTTCATACTGAAGTTAGTGCTGATGATGTCGTCTAGCAAGGCGATGAAAGCTTCACAATTAAACAACCCAGCTCAGAGAACACAATACAAGCGAAACTTGAATATCTCAAGGCTAAAATGTTCAGTGATATAGGTTCAAATCTCAAGCACGAAGTCAGTTTCATTGACGTTGCATATACACCTTGCTGATAAGTGCCAACAAGCACGAAATCTAGGTTCAGGTCTTCATATCAATTGGCTTCATCCAGCTAACATCTATCTAAGTGCATTACGATGTTGAGTTGCCTAGTCTGGTAGCCATATTGTAAAATGAACGATAGAATTCGATTACCACTTAGGACTAGACAACTGAGTTAAGTTGCTCTTCAGTAATCAATCGATGTACATTGATAATTCTAATGACAGTTGCTATAGAATTTTCAGAATAATCAAGTATATTGGCAATATTACTCATATGAAAGAGAGTAGAAGGTATACTCGGGTTACGATTTTGTGTACACAATTCGTATAGTGTATTAATTTGGAGTTCTGAAGCTTATTTTCGAAGTCTGTGAATTCAGTAGTGAGTTACAAATGAATATTTCAAGAAGGATCAAGACCAAGCTTGAAGATTTCTTGTCAACGGGTATCAAATATCTAAGACAATAAATTTTCACTCTCTTCCTATTCATACATCTACCTAGTGATTGGCTACGTATACAGATTCTTCAGCAACGACTGTATCAACGCATGATCTATCCAATCTATTCTACTCAATTCATATAACCTCCTGTTTTCACAGTAAAACGAAGATTCATTTTATATAAGATATATAGATGATATTTCAATTATACATAATAATGAATGTGTTGCGGAACTTCAATTCTGAATCGAATGAATGAAATTCAGAATAGTAAATGCTTAACAAGTGTAGAACAGAATGATAACTGTCTACCTCTTTTAGATGTACTACTCATTTGATGGTAGGATAGATCAATAAAATGATTTATTTACAGAAAGGCAAATTTGACAGGACAATACTTAAGTTATCGTAGTTTCTGTCGGATACAATACAACATATGAGGTTTAGTTAGGTGTCAGTTTAAATGAACTCAACAAATATGCACAGCCTAAAGGTTGGAAAATGAGACAAAAATACTAACGAAGACACTGATTCAGAAGAACTACCCAACAGAGTGTATGAATTGGCATAAGATAGACAGGATATTTAAAAATACTCTCCACTCTTTCCTTAAGAAAGATATACTCATAAAACTACCATACATTCGTGTGGCTAATAACTTGACAGCCAGACAGAGACTTAACCCTACCGTTATGTAGCTACAGTTTGGATAATTGAAAATTTGAAACAAGGGGAAAGTGAAGTCACATCCCACTGCATATACCAATTGTACGGGGTAGGGTTGCTAACCCTACATCCAACCTTCCGTATTTATCTGGGCTTCGGACCGGCTAGTAACTAATGAGGTTGGGACAAAAATGGAATTACGAAATTCATTAAAACCCATCTATAAGACCTGTTGCGGACGTATTTTTTAGTTTGTTGAAGAATTATTCATTGGGAGGTTTAAGCCAACATTATGCGTTCAAAAACAATTTATCATCATGTTAACCTGCCTATGTAAATTCATCATTGAACCCAATGTGAATGTACTATTCTTGTTGGATTATTGGTCTTTATTTTTATTTTGACCTTATCATTTGACCGATAATTATTTTTCTAGCCCTTTAACTGTGTAATTTTCATATAAATGATAAATACGTGTGTAAATCGATTGTTCGAAATGTATTGAGTGAATACATTACACTATTCAGACAAGTTACATCTTCTAATTGTTCGATCAAAAAAGGATCACTAAAACCCATAAGATGTGCCAGTACAGAATGGGTAAGGAAGATGTACAAGGATTAGCAGTTAGCAAACAATTTTAAAGTGAGTTGTAAATTTGAAGACAAATAGTGGAACCGTCTGTTTTATGTGTTCACCTGTATATTTCCTTAATTGATGTCAAAGGTCACATCTTATGATCTTGACTGGGTTATTCTCAGCAAAAATTCTGTTGATACCACAGTTGGGCAGTTGATAAACTACTTAACTGAAAGAAATGTCATCGTGGACCGTGCACCTCATAAATCATTTGCGAAGTGATCATTCTATTTAAGGCATACCGATCCATGCCAGTCAGTTAGCTGAATTCGTGTAATCCAAACAATTCATCCTTCTGAGCTGCATTTTTCCAGGTGCACAGCTAATGAGCTCACCTCCAAATAAATGAAACGGCCGTCCGATGTTTAGATCACTCTGGGTCTGGCTCAGGAAACCTACAGATCAGCATGTGTGGTTTCTGACTACTCAAGATATTCAGTAGGATATCTCATTGTTTCATGTCTCACTTAAACGCCTCAACAAAAAAGTCTGTAAATTTATGTGTCGATAACTACTCTCAGCACAATTTTTGAATGATTTGATGATTGTGTTGCTCTATACATTTATATTTTTCCGAGTACAGCTATTGACGGCACTATGGATGTATTTAGAGCAATTAACCTTTTTGATAGGTAACAGTTTCCATAATGTTCACACTGTCAGAGTAGCAATACACATGAAATTCAGCTAAATCGTAAGGTTTAATGTGCACGGCTATCAGTCAAGACTAGTCTTTCAAAGCTCATGATACTAGGCAGTTACCTAAGCTGAAGAAGGAGAGGAAGAGTTTGAAAACAGTTTTCATTGTTTCGATGTGACTTCACGAATCGAATGAAATTCCCCAAAACGGTGTAGTGTATTATAAAAGTGCTTATTTAGTTGATTACTAACAACCAGCATCAACTTTGCTCTGACTTAATTACTCATGATAGTAATTAAGTTAAAAATAATATTATTAAATTTATTATACCGAATAAAACTGATAGATGATACATTCATTCACTCACCTGTTCCATTTAAATGCATGCAAATTAAGCATAATAGCTCGAAAATATAAATGATGCTGTAAGAGAACTCCTTCAGCTTCTTGATATTCACCTGAACAATATGAAAAAGGAAATTGTTCATCAAAAATATTGACTACTTAATATGCTACTGAAAGGGATCAATCAGTATTATGCAATTCAAATTCATTATCGACAGTATAAATACCACTTAAGGATTGGTGAGTAATTATGATAGACTAAGATGGATTGAGTCATTTACCAAGTGTAAATAACTTCAATTCCGTGACCACTTCCAAAGTATTTTAGATTGTGCCAGCTCCGATTCACATAACAAAAAGCAATTCAGTGAAGAAAATCTTCTTTTCCAAAAGTTGTAAAATCGTAATTATAGTTACGACAAAACATATATATCCATCAACACTTTATAGGTCAGTACAAGATCATCAAAACTTGTCATTAAATTCAAAAGGTGATTACAGCTAGAGTGTTGACATTGGCCAAACAAAGTGTGTTCTGTTTAAACGCATCTCCAAGCACTATCTTTGATCGCTGTCAAAAAGGAGAGTACAAAGCGACCAATAGTTTGATTCTTGAGCATACGGTTAACTGTCGTCACTCTGCTCCACCAAAATCTTTTTTTGAAGTCATTTATAAGGTCAAATCAAATGTTTCGAAAGGGGCGCGTGCTTGCCCACCTCAACACAGCAGAAGCTTCGGCAATTCATCAGCTCGAGTCTCATTTCTCAGTTCAAAAGATATACCTTCAATCTGTTATTTCACCTTAGTCATGGTCTCCTTATTACATCGTCCTTATCTGTTTACCATTTCTTTGTCTATTGCATTTCTATAAATAGATTTTTGATAGCCTTTGTTGACCTTGCGAATTGATTGCCGGTTTTCGATGACCTTGAGCTGGCCCGCTACCTATTGATAAATATACATCTATTGATTTCAGATAAGTGTACATCAAGGACTGACATGAGTTTAAAAATGTTGAAGACCTGGGGATACTGAAAAGCTGCAAGGGCTCCAACCCAAGACATACAGTTTATGCAGCTATTACGTTACCACTCAGCCACTGGGTTGGATTGCAATGATTCACATTTTCCTACTTTTGCCGCTTTTGCGATGTACCGTGACCTCCATCCAATACTGCCAAGAAACTGTCTTCACTAGAATAAAACAGCTACCCAATGCTTCCAGTTCTCCAACTGACATCTATCCATGATGAAACCCAAACTTGAAATCAATCAGAAAAATAAACCCCCACAAACCCGAAGTTGGATATATGTTTTTTTGTAGATATAATTACGATTGGAAAGCTTTCGAAAAGAACATTTTCGTCGTTGAATTGTTTTTATGGATAATGTTATTAGGAGATATAGATTATCCGAACAATATGGTGTATTTGCGCTATACATTTCGAACAAGCTGTTCATCTTAAAATGAGATAATAATGCAACTGATCAATTTCGCACAAATCCATGTGGAACACCATTAGCTACATTCATTATACTAAGGATTATAAAACCACTTGTCAATCTAACCTTCAATAAGTCAAGGAAGGTATAAACAAGTGGCATATATATTAGTTGAAAATGAGGTGTGAAATATCTTATATCTTAATAACCATTGTACGTTTAGATTGTCTGCAGCTGAAGAGTATTCATGAAGTAAAACGATGGTATTATTCTGTTTTGCATATCTCATTCAAATATGTCGTTATATTTTGTCAGCATGTTAACTGGACAATAAACACTGTACCGTTTAATCTCTTCTCTTTTTTTTCAGAAACCAAGTAATCGATAAGAGTGAAATCTAGTTCGTGTTGAAAAGTGTAGAGACATATTAGCCACCTGCTTTACTTAAGTTTCTATGGCAGTTTAAAGCTAACCCCTACCTAGTTCATTATTTATACATAGGCGAGTTTTAACCTTTGAGTTAAAATCACATAACTGCATTGTTTATCAATTATATTCAACGTATTTTCAATATTCACATCATGTCTTTTATCCATTAAATGATATACTGTTGAATTACTGACACTGTTTGATTCTCTGAAGTTTATATTGCTTGCAATATGTTCAGCAAAAGAGTGTAGATGCACTTTTCTCTATTTTTCCACTGTAACATGTAAATCGGTAACGTGTGATTCATATCTGTCTAACTTGTTTTTCAGCAATGAACAGTTTGTCTGTTAAATAACTATTGCTCTTGTTACTGGGAATGTGTTTTTGAGTCTATCTGTTAAATCCTAACTGACCATGTTTGGGAATTACTCAACCTTGAATGTTTAGCTTGAGGTCTACTTACTTTCCCTCGGGTATATTTTCCTCATCCCTAGAATGGATTTCACTAACGTACTTTCCTATAAACATCTCAGGGTAACCACTTTCTTTTCGTCCTTATAGCTGAACCACTTGATTGACAGTCTATATTTTTTTTGAAATGAATTCACCATCAGTAGGTCTTAAGGATTTAAAACTGTCTGAAATCTAACAACCACGTTTGCAATATGGCCACTAAGCCAAGTGATGTGACACTGCACAGCGCCACACTCTGGTGTTTGTTGTTAGAAGCTAGTTGGTAGGAAAAAGTGAACTTGGGTCTCATGCTTGTTGGCACTCATCAGCAAGATATAACCGCCATCTTTAGTGCTGAAGTCAAAGACTAGCCTACGGAGCAAATCGGATCACCACTGACCTCCTGTAAGACCTTATTCTTGACTTTTTGAATTAGTGTTAGATAGATACAAAAGTATAAAACCCCACACAATGTGACATGATTTCGAACCTTCACGTATTTTGACTACACAAAGAAAATCAATGAAACCAGAAAGATATTTAGATCAGCTAGAAAAATTTAGATGAGTGAATAGAAAGAACTGAGAGAAAAAGTAGTTAGATGTAATAAGTACCGAAGGTGAGTAAGTGGACAAATCAGTGTTACCATAATATTACTTAGAGTCTGAAACCATTTCAACCAATTAGCGGCAACTTACAGATTCCTGTACTAAACCTTTCCAATCTGTTATGTACGGTAATATCTGGCTACGGAAATTTTTGTAGGTCATATTGGAAGTGAAAATCGAAACTTTGTATGAATAAGTCCCAATTTTACCGTAAAGCTTACATATTCCTGATACAGGAGAGATGAAAAGTAACTGACACTAGGTGTCACTGATCAATTTATGGATCTCTTAAAATTACTACTAATCTAATCTATATCACATACCTTTCGTTTTTTACAACAGAAAATTAACTTAGCTATTTCATATATTAGATTTCAACCGCCCATTGCACAGCTGTACTACTCATCTTGTTCATTGATTCAACTCTAAATGTAGACATTCACACTTTGAGATGATGCAGAATATTTTTAGCTCAGGAGGTAGATTTTAATGTTTTCGCATCTGAATGATTTATTCATGAAGCTTTTATTGCAACTGTAGACAATATCAAACGATGTTTGCATAATTCGTCATCAATTGACAAGTCATCATCGCAAACCAATGGAAAGATTGTCTAACCTTACATAGACGTTCTTCATGAGTTCAAAACTAGAATTGCTGTATCTCGCAAGCCCACAAAATCTCTTCACTCTCTGTTGCGCATGTCAAAAGATCCAGTACTGAAGGGGGATAAGTCAAACGTTATCCACAAAATAAATTCCAGACACTGTGAAAAACATTATATCACCTTCTTTGCATTCGTCTGCATGTATATCAACTAACAGTTAGGCAGACTGATATATCTCTGCTCATATCGATGCATACAGACAACTGTGGACATGAATTTGATTGGGAAACTATGGAAATCCAGGATAGACGAAATACAAAGAATGCTAGAGAATTTTTAGAAGCTTGGTATTTAAGTCAGTCAGCGATAAACAGACATATTGATATTGAATTTTGAGGGAGTTGTAGGGATTTGGAAATATTCCAAGTTGTTATTCATGGTAGACTGACATCAGTTGGGGGGACAAAGGAAACCTGGGAGCACTGGATAACTGTTTCCTCTTAGTATGGGACTCCTCAGCAGTGCACACCCACGACCCCACCATGGATCGAACCGCGACCTGCTGGCCACGGAACCTGAAGATCGTGGGTTCGATTCCTGGTGGAGTCGTGGGTGTGCACTGCTGAGGAGTCCCAAACTAGGACGAAACAGTTGTCCAGTGCTCCCAGGTTTCCTTTGTTCCCCCAACTGATGTCAGTCTACCATGAATAACAACTTGAAATATTGATCTTGACCCAATCTACCAACCAATAAGAAAAAATAATAAGGTCGAAATTCACGTCAGCAGGACAATTAATCGAAATAAATATGGAGAAAGTGACAGAACTTTGGCAGAAAGAACTAACTATACACTCAAGACCACTAAAATAATGTAATAAGCCACTTGTGGAGAAAACTTCATAATTCACTTCTTTCTAAAATTTGTGCTGATGAGGTTGTCTAGAATGACGGTGTAAGCTTAGCGATTAAACAATCTAGCTCAGAGAACACAACACCATCAAAAATATTCATATTTCACTGGGTAGGGTAGCCTGAACAATCAGTCAAAGAACTAACCTGATAAAAGTAACATTTCAGCATTTTTCATCTCAGGTGTTGGAAGACTTTTAATGTATCTTATATATTCCACTTTATCAACCTTGGTAGAGAAAAAAAATTAAGTAAGTAGGAAGTAACAGAGATTTGAATTTATAACGACAAAGAGATGACATTCATGGAAAACTCAACTATTCAAAAAACCAAAGTGAGTTACTAGTTCAATGAAGAACTGATGCTCACTCAGGTGTCTCCCATTCATATAACAACAAGATAAAACACTCACCAGCTTTAATTTGTTCTCTAATCAAAGGCGCTTCAGGAAAGTTCATTAAGGAATACTTATGAAGTAAAATAGAATGTCTTAGGTGGTAGGTGAGAGTAGATCGACAGGAAGTCCTACACGACCCAGTTTTCATGCTTATCGAATCGCGTCAGCAAGCCGCATTTGATGTTCTCTCAGTAATTAGAACCGGTGTCACTCAGTGATAAAGTTAGACACGTGGCCACTAAGCTATTCAGGACACGACTGACCCCTCTAGGGCTGTAGGGTGTACATGAGTTAGTCACAAGTGGGTAACTCATGTGGCTGTCAGACTCTTAGCTCTTAGCATTGACTGAAGTTTATCGACTAAGTTTTACAATGTGACCACTAGGCAAAAGAAGTGACACTATGGTGCACTGTATTTCAGTGTTAGATAGTAGGAATCCATCAACAGGAAATTCAAGTTGAACTGATGAACTTTAGGAACACTTTCAACAGCAGAATGCTATAAACCCGAAAATCCTATTCTAGAAATCCTAAGATGTCTGAACAATAAGTACAGACAAGTAATTTCTGAATTCAACCCAAGGTTTTCATAATGAAGTATTGTGTTAAATATCCTTCTCGATCAAACTTCATACCATATTCAACCTCAATGAACGTTCCCTTCATCGTATGTGTTCCTAACATCCTGAAGTATGCATATCTAAAAAAGCCAATGAAATCCTGTTTGATTTAGAATTTCGCGTCCTTATGCAAGTCACTACTATGCAATAAAATGTAACTTCAGAAAATTCATCAAAGGGTATTACTTATCATTCACTTCATGAACCAGATCGATAAACCTCACCTAGCACAGATCTCTTTCATTGGATGTCTCCTGTGATATTATTTGTTCAATTTCCATGTGGACCATGAAATTTGTAGATAATTTACAAACTGACGATCCTGTTTACAATATACAAGCTTATCAAGCCAGCAAGCCAATTTCATTTTATCTGAATGATTTGGCTCTGTGAATCGAATTTATTTAGATACACCATTGAAGAGCCTGGCGACAGACAACGAAAATAATTACTCACTGTACAATTGTCTGAGAAATATGTGATCAGAAATGCACAGCTTATAAAGTTTCAGTTTGATTTTTCTCTTGAACCCCCCCCCCCCCATTTCCTAATACTCCAACTTTTCTGATGGAGCTGTAATTGCTGTGTACCGACAAAGTCCACTTCACATTTGAAGGTAAATGCTTTCAACAAGTTGACAGTGTAGCTATGTGCAGTCCCTTAGGACCATTACTAACTAATATTTATATGTCATAAATCGAAAATCTGGCCGGTGATCTCATCACTAAAGTTCCTCTGTAAAAAGGAGATATGTTGATGGCGTCATAGGGATTTGTGACAGGCATGAGGATATGGCTTGTCTACTATAAAGACTCAACACCGTACAAACTCACATCAGCCTGACTTGTGAGAAAGAAAATAATAATCATCTACCATTCTTAGACGTGCTCTTGAGTCCATAAGAAGATGGTTCTATAAGACGGTCAGTCTACATGAAGCTTATATCGACAGGACAGTATCTGAAGTTTCACAGCTTTTATTCGATCCAATGCAAACGAGGTCTAATAAAATGCCTGTTTAATGGGATCTATCGTAGTAGTACATCAGATATAGTGAATGAAGATATCAAGTTAGTGACTGAAATACTTACAGGAAATGGATATTTATTGAAGTTTATAGACTGTTGTAGAGGTCAAGTAGCACCGAAGCCAACTGTATACACGTTACTAAGAAAAGCGTTCATGTCACTCTACCATAGAGAAGGGGAGTTGAATAGTATCATTTTGAGACGTAGGCTGACGTCAGCCATTAGGAAAACATATTACGCAGGTAACTTTATTATTGTGGAAAAAACAAAACACATGCTTCATCAAAAACCTAAACACCGCACCAATGAATACGTCATATCCCATTGTGTTTACAAATTTACATGCGTGTGTGGTGACATATACATAAGGAAGAATAACGGAGCTATGCAGTTGAGACTGAGAAATAATGTACTTAAATGGCTTCAAAAACAAACGGAGCAGAAAACCGTGATAAACGATGGTTGGAGACGACCCTCTTCATCTATAGCTAAATATATCAGAGGAACAGGTAACAAAATTAACGTCCAGCTTTCAAAATTTTGTATAGAAACAGTCAGGGACGTATGCTGAGATTTGAGGAAGCCGCAGCCATAAACGAACTGTTACCACGTTTATGTATACAAAAGCAATTTAATTACACTACACATATATTGGTAAACTCTGTTTTCTTGCCAAGATTAGGATCAAATACGTCACTTCCTGTTTGTTTTCATCTTCCTTAATTTTAATCTCCTATTATGTTGACTGTTGTATTTGTCCTCCGACTCTTCAGTTTAGTATATATTGACTTGACAAATAAATGTGTGATCAGATTATTCGAAATGTATTGCTCAAATACATCACATTGTTTAGATAAACTTCGTTTTCTAACCATGCTATCGAAATTCATAAACGTGGCTAACTGTTTCAAAACTTCTGTTTATAGTATACCAGCTTATCGAAGCCAGTAAGCCTATTTTAATTAACCTAAGTGATTTGACTCCATGAATCGAATTATTTTCCATACACCACTGGAGAGCTTGACCACAGACGACAAAAATAATCATCACTCGGATATAGTAGGCGGAATGTGTTAATCAGCGTGAATGGCTCATTACTACTCATTTTGTTCAGTAGCATATCTAAATCACTGGTGGATAATGCGGCGAAACACTAAATATGTGTCCAAAAACACTTTGTTCATAATAATTTGCTTGGTTGTGGTAAGCAGAAGAATCCGGGAAGCGCGCTTTGTCCTATTTGAGACTTGTCAGCTGGGTTTACCTGGATTCCAGTGTAGAGTGGTGTTGTTCCCAATGGAACTCGAACCTCGTACCCAACGCTTCAAACGCCGAGGTGTTAACAACTATGCCATGTGGGCACGATAGCCACTTCTTGTACAGCGCGCGTTTTGGGTTCTTCTACTAGCCACAAAGAAGCAAATTACAATAGTTAACATTCAGGAAATATGGAGGCATTCGCATGGAAGCCCATATGCCAATGGAGGTCGAACAATTCCACTCAATAAAATATCGGAGAATTACAAGTATAGAAATAAATAGTAAGCTTTTGTTCATACCTTGCTCCTAAATACTTAGAATTATCGACCAGGTTTTGTACTGTGTAAACCATTTACCCTAAATAAGATTTTTGATACTGAATTGTTCGTTAGTAAAACAAAATATTTTGAAATTGACAGCCGATTCCCAACATACTTTGTTCAATGTTCAGTTAACAAAATATTTCAAAATCCTATTTGTAAAAACAACGAAATATTATGAGTGTACTTCATATCATTGTATGATATCAGCTATACATAGAATAAAAGGGGGGTGTATTGAACAGCTCTTTTACTTTTTCCCTTAAAACTCCTCAGTATTTTAAATATGATTTAATTAGCAAACTTTAAACTCCTTTGAGTGAAGGTTATGATTCAAACTTATTTTTTGACCAGTTTGGCAATTTCTGCTGCAAGGCATATTTGGGTATCCATTCTCACATCTGATCAGACTGACATCTCAAATGTTAACTCTTCAACGCAGGTCCAGGAAACCCATCTCAAAAATAAGTCGCTAGTGAAAACTGATTGAGTATTTGGTTGAGACTGTTGTATGAAAATATCCCTAATTTTTCCTGCAGTTCATCTAACAGTCTTTGATACTGTATTGGTTAACAGATATATCTTTGAGATATTTCATTAGAATGTAACGATCAGTATCGATTTGATGTGATTAGATAAAGTTAATAATCTTTTTCGCCTCACTTTTCATCAATTAAACCAACAAAAAATTAGAAAATGTTGATAATTTCTCCGTCTATCAACGACTTACTTCTTCAATCTGAGCAAATGCTATCTCAGCAATATCCAAAGACTTGGCATTTATTGCCAATCCAGCCAGACATGCCCAAAGCATTTTTTCCTGTTAACAAGATTAAAATTTTAAACAGAGTTGATATTATGATTAGTTTATGTGTATCATGTCTAACATAAAAACGGTATATACACAAGGAAAGAGTAAATTAGTAATTTTGTTGGTAAACACAACTAACTTGTTGAGTTACACGCTAATTATTATATGCGTGAGCCTTTTATTGCCACCATATCACTGTACTGGTTGAGTTAACTGATTTTCTCCACATATTACACAAGCTAAATAAGGTACGCGAGAATTTTTACATGTAGTTCTGAGTGGATGGAGCTAAATTTATTTTCTTCTTGTCTTCCCAGAGGACAGACATGGAGAAAGGTACGGATGCAGAGGACACTTATCATCACAAAGTTTGTTCTCAACCAGTTGTCCACAAGATCTTACATGCCTATCCACGACCACATTTATCAGCATACTAAGAGGTGTACCACTTGTTCTACTAACACCCTTCAAAATCCTCAGTAATACAACATAGTCTTGTTTCCGGAGTCCAGGAAAGAACAAGAGGGAATAACAAGTAACTACAGGCAAAACATAGGAATCGACGAAACGCAAGAATAGAGGCTGAATTGTGCCAGATGTTCTGAGTTTCCTTATGTTAATAAGTTAAGCGAAGGATTTTCCTGGAAATCAGTAAAATATTAGGGGACCAACAAAGATCGGAAGAAAAGCATAAGCCAAGATGGACCACGCCTGATACATCTTCTACAATAGAGGTATCTATATGTCAGATGTCATGGGACTGAAACAAGTTACACAGGTCTTATTCACTTCCTAAGCTAAAATTAATCATCTGACGTTTGGAGGGATTCGACCGTGAGGCCATTTGAGGAAGATAGTGTTCATTTTCGCTCAAGAGGTTATTAAACTGAGAACAATCTGAAGGGGAAATGACGGGTATGTATTATGGTAGGTCACCTACATACTTAACAAAGTTAGCACTAATTGAGATGGGTAATTCGTGCAAAAAGAAAGAGAAAGGAAGATGAGTAATAGTAGGAACTTGAGGGACACCGGCTTCACTAAGCAGGGAAGTAGAGCTTTTCCCCCTGTATTGAATGTACTGCCTTCTCAGTTTGCAATCCAGAACTCAGTGTGATTTCTGAAAAGTTTGATTAATAAAAGGGGTCTAGGAACATAATCAAAGAAACAGGTTATAGAATAGAAAAATGTGATCACTTTTCAACCAGTAGACTACGTTTTTCTCAAACACTTACTTCGTTGAATTTGTTCTGTACACTTATCGACTGTGAATTAATCTGAATGCAAGATTTTAAGAAAATTACTAGTATTACCGAGGCTTAAAAAAGTGTCTTATATACAAATTCATCTTCAAACACTTCCGTGTATAACTGTATAAAGGAGAGTAAAAAGTGACTAATAGTTTCATTCCTAAGCATCCGGTCAACTCTCGTCACTTTGCTCCACCAGAATCTTCCTTCCGATTTAGTAATAGAGTCAAATCAAACTTTTTGAAAAGAATGCAGATTCACCAGAACACAGCAGAAGCCTTGATAAAAGTAAAATCCCCACTGATCTCAAAAATGCATTACTATATATTGTTCATTAGTGACATACATCCAGGTGCATATTTCTAAGGTCAAATGGGAAGCAGTGAACTTTTGGGTCTGATGGGAAGCAAATATCAACTGAAGACCATCAGTGATAGTCGCACTATATCGTGAATTAATGGAAGTTGGAAACTGTCAACCACTGATCTCCGACCTGCTGGCCGAATGATTAGTGGGTTTGGGGTGAAACTTGAAGGTCCTGGGTTCGAGCCCCAACTGGTTCATGGGTTGCGTACTAGTGTGAATCAGCTATCCAGTGCTCGCGGGTTTACAATGATTTCCCAACTGATGTCAGTCCGTGATCAATAATACCTCAAATTTAGTTAGTTATTCATCTTTCTTTTGTTTATTTAGTCATTTTTTACTTATCATTTGTCTACCTACTGCGTAATCCGTCAAACAATTCTTTGATGACTTTGAATTGACCTTCCAATCGTAATCACCTTGTGACTTTAGTGACAATTCTTGGTGACCTTGAATTGACCAATCTGCTATTTATGGACGCATTTTGTTTGAACGAAGATTGTGCAGCTTTTGAAAATGATTCATTGAAAGGGAAATTTTAATCGCTGAAATGTCTATTTTTAATGTTTCATGAGTGAAAAGGACTATTTCGAGGATATTTTAATCGATGAAAAAACTAGACAAAAAAAGTCAAATTAGAGTCCGATATACCATAGATCATAAACAAGAAATCATATATCGCCTTCATATGACTTTGGCGGACAGGCCTTAAAATCATAGATTAGCATGATACCTGAGTAGGACAATCTCAGTTTCTTCCTACACTAATAGACATTAAATATGCGAGTAGTTGTTGAATCATTTTTTAAAAAACATCTCTTTTGGCAAGATTTGGTGATCGATTAACTTCAGAAGTAGGTGATAGTTGTATCGCAAATTTCATTTCATATTCTTTTAATTTACTAAATTTGATTATAACTTCTATAGAAAGTTGACTTTATTTATCCCAAGCTTTTCTGATCATGATAGCAAAAAGCTAAATAGTGACATCAACAGGAAGAAAGTAAAACAGAAATCAACATTTTAATTGGTTGGCCGGTTTCGTAGAAAAGTTTGACCTTTAAATGTTGATTTATGTTGCTGCACGGTCAAGATAAATCTTATTGGACAATTTCTAACTTCCTTGAGCCAATCAGGATAAGTTATCTTATCTTTGACCCTACACATTTTCATGTTTATTCAGATATGATATATTTCTAGCGAATAAAGTCATGCTTTCAGTAACAGGTCAATCAATGTCTTCCAATATTTATAGTGCATAGTGAACAGTCGGTATCGTGATGTGTTCAGCATCGTTATTACCTCAGCATCTCATTCTGTCTGGTCACTTCAGACCCCTTATGCTCTTTTTACGCCTTATTTTCTGTTTATGCATTTCCTCTACCTCAATAAAAATATTTTTATATTTTCACTATCCATTTTTTTGTTATGTTGTGAAGTTTAGCAGCCTGAACCGATCTGATTTGATTTAACGTTCAAGTCTTGTATTGCTCTGTTGTTGTAATTCCATCAAACAAGGTGTCTGTAAGGCAGGTAAGATTTTCCACTTCATCTTCTTTTAAAGATAACGAACTTGTCATTTACATATTGTATACACTTCTGTTAGCTTATTATCTGTATGTAACTATTCATACGTTGAAACAAGATGAAGGTTAAGCCTTCTGTTTGTATGCCTTATCAGTCAGTTGAATGGTGATGGTACTCTTAAATACGACAATTAACGATTCATCATTGAAATGGACAGGTCGAAGAACACTTATGACTCAAGACTGGTGATATTTAATAATTCTATTCTATTGTAGCTTTGATCTTCCTTCCTTACACTAATCATGCTTTCTTGTTTTTATTAAGCTCATTCTATTATTACTCTTCTGATGTTAGACTCATTATCACCATCGACATCAACATAGGACCAGGCATTACTGCATAACAGTCTGAGTTGCAACAGCTCATATCAGTAGAAAGGTAGTGAAGTAGAAGATAAAGAAAATAAAATCCAGTCAAAATTAATATAAAGTACGAGAAGAAAGGAAGGAAGGATGACAAAATGGTGAGATTCGGTATAGTGTAGTTAAGAAGAGGATAATGCATGTATACATCTGCGCCACTGACATCGGTTCTGAGCCATATCCCCTAGAGTCTCCAACCACTGGTTCCTCTTGTCCCACGGACCTCACCCACTTAGTCTTCATCGTCCCACATGGCTCAAACCAACAGTCAGAGACTATGCAGTTGAAATACGATTGCTACGTTACAGTTGGTAATCTTAATCATGTCCATTTAAACTAATTACGATATTTATTTACTGAACAAACTACAAAACCTAAAGTGGAATGAAACTATATTCAGCATATATGACTAGTTGGAACAACCCAAACTACGTAGGTTTTTCAACCGTTGTTCCGTAATCATTGAGAGACATTGAAAAAACTGTAAAAAATATGAACTCTGTAAGATTGCTATCCATTTCACTCAACCTTAATACCAAAGATTTAACTGTTGAGATGTTTCAGCTAACAATAATGTGATTACTTGTAACACTAAATTTATTATTATTTGTCCCTTGGGTTCCTAGTGGAACATAGAGCCTCAGTACCACGTCGCTATTTCACTCTCTTCTCTGCAGTCTCGCTCAACCTGGCTCCACCACTGCCCACAACCTTTCATTTCTTCCTCACACCATCTCCTCCATGTCATCCTCGCCGCCGACACCCAACTCGTCATTCTTCCTCTAGGTTCCACTCGAGGGTCTTGCCTGGAGCGTGATGTCCCTAGTCGGTCTTCTCAGTGTATGCCCAATCCATCTCCACTTTCTCCTGCATATTTATTGGGTGATAGGTTCTTGGTTAGTTCGTCGGCAAGCCAGAGTTCCTTGTTGCTTATTCTAACTATTCTGGCTATCTGATCTTCAGTATCGAGTTAGCGTAGGCAGTAGCTGTTGATGTGATGTAGTTTGTTGTAAATGCTTTTCGTAACATGCCGCTAAGTCTCTCAACCATCACATAGAAGCACTGACTTACTTGAGTGAATTAGTGTTGAAAATGCGGATGTTGTTCACGGCTTATGCTGAGTACAGTGCAGTGCAGTAGATCTCCACAGTGATTTCAGGTTAATGAAGACCTATCTTGCTGTCTTTCCGATCCTGGTTTTGACATTCTCATCTGTGCCACCGCCTGTAGTTGAAACACTAAATATTACATAGACATTTTTCATTTTATGATAAGTAGTATAAACAAGCAGGCAACGAAACAAGATTGAGACATCTCTATCGACTAACTGCAAACATTTAGTACAATTTCCTTTAAGACTAGGGCATTACATAATGTTACCTAACATCTAGTGATGGATATGCAAGTCATATTATGTTACATATTAATTGTGTGATTTCTGGCACTTGGTTTAGCAACTGTCATCAGAACTGAATTTTAGCAGAAAAAACGATTCCTTAGGAATCTGTTTGAAAACCAGATACCAAGACTTTTATTATAACTAAGTCAAACCTTTCTTAGTTAATGTAATCAGGCCAACTGCAAACTGAAATAGAGATGAAAAATGAACTTTGACGCTTATGCTCGTGAAGGTGAACTGATTGGTTGAATTGATCACATAAACTTTATTCAGTTAACAGCAATTCCAGATAACATTACAGTGATCTACTAACTGTTGATAGTAGATAGCAGTGGAATCCAAGATATGCATTTCGTCCTGTTTGAGACTCGTCAGCTGGGTATACATACTTCTCAGTAAGTGACGTCATCCCCAGAACATTATCCATTAGGCAACTGAGACATGATAGCTCCTTTTATGTAAGATAAGCATATTACAGTTTTTGATATTATGGACTACAATTATCTGACTTTATATATCTGGTTATTTTCACGCTAACTAGAGTAGAAATAACTCGATAATCTGGTAGTTTATGCAACGCTCATGATTCACAGTAATACACTTCTATATTTTGAGGAAAAAAGGTACTAAGATGATAAATATACTAAGGTGATTTTACCTTTACTGTCCAACATAAACTTAGTGCTTCGTTCCATTTATTCTGTCCAATTAATTGATGCAATTTATCAGGATAGATAGATACTGGACAGTAAATGATACTTCCATCACCACGCTTAATCATAACGCGATCACGGTAAAAGTTAATCAATTCTGCTTGTTTCCCATACTCATCACTGCATAAAAACATAAAGCAAAATAGATTAATATTGGAGTAAAACTTGGGCATTGAGGAAGATTATGTGTTCATTTCAATCTGTTTATTAGAAATGTCACACAGTTAGAGCTAATCAGACTTAATTGATTATTCATATCAAAATAACTTCACAACCTTGAAACATCCTTTGTACAGTCCTAATTTACTCGCTTCCTTTACTACATAGTAGGATTTCCCATCTAACCGGAATAAGCGCTCACTCATTTCTCTTGCATGTATTACATGTTGATTTGATGAAGAAAGATTCGGTTATCAATCTCTCCCTCCACTCTGTTACATCAGTTTTAAGGATTTCCAACCTGTCCTATCCTATTGTGTGGTTGTTTTTAATCGCATGAATACCTATAGTCGAGCTACTTTCTAAATCCTCTATCTTACTAGGATTTACTAATTTTGACTTGGTTAGATTTTTGTGTTGGGATAGTCTAAGTGACCCAGGTTGACTACTTTCACCTATGTATATGACCTCATAATAGTTGCAAGGGATTTAGCACATTAAATAACTCTGCCCAGTTTGATCAATAGGATCTTTTAACTTTCAAAACTTATTTCAGAGTTTGTAGGTTCAAATGCCACTCTAATCACAGCCTTATTGAGAATCCTACGTAGTGTTTGTGAGATACCTTCTTTGTATGGTAATACTGTAAAGACTGCAGAATAAAACGGAAAGAAGATGGGAGTTTAGACACCAGTATCTACAGAAAGCCTTCACACTCAAATTGTCTTACAGACTTCAAATCGTCTAACCCTATGTCATTTAAAGTTTGCTTGGTGAAATATCCAAATAACAGAGCCAAAAAACTGGTAAAACCATTAAGACAAAAGATTTGAGACAAAAAACCAGATAGATTAGAGATACCTTACTCATCAACAATTACCTTCCCAAATTATTTGATAAGTTCCTGAGGAATCGTAAGGAAAATACTGGTAACATAGGTCATATACATAGGTGAAAGTAGTCAACCTGGGTCACTTAGACTATCCCAACACAAAAATCTAACCAAGTCAAAATTAGTAAATCCTAGTAAGATAGAGAATTTAGAAAGTAGCTCCACTATAGGTATTCATGCGATTAAACACAACCACACAATAGGATAGGACAGGTTGGAAATCCTTAAAACTGATGTAATAGAGTGGAGGGAGAGATTGATAACCGAATCTTTCTTCATCAAATCAACATGTAATACATGCAAGAGAAATGAGTGAGCGCTTACCCCGGTTGGATGGAGAATCCCAATAATAATAATCGCTTTATTCCAAACAATCTGTATAACAGTATGGAATGCTCAGCATGTAATTTTTCAACAAATTCACTCCCGGAACAATAGTTTCACACGAAACGGTTATTGCATCGGAATGATGTTATTAATAACAGTTATTCAAGGCAATAATATGAAGTAAACAGCTAGTTCTGGATGGGCATCTGGTCCATAATGAAAAATCGATAGGAATCCAAGTTTAATTTTGGTGGTGCAAAAATCTACTACTCAAGCTAAGTATCTGAAGGATAGAAATGTGATGTACTTTTTTGCACCGAAAAATCCATTCCCATATAACGTAACACTTTTTCTCTGCTTAATTATTCAATCGAGAAATGAAGAGGTGGAAATACTTTTAAAATGAGCAGTAGTAAATGACACATTCAAAGGACAAATTTAAATGATTAAAACAAACTGAAAGGATAGAATTTGTAGAAAAATGTTCGATGGATAAATTTGGTAGCCCAAGGTCCAAGCAGGCCGCCGTGATTATCTCTATTGCAAAAGAGGCTAGTAAACTGGGACTGTATAAAGGATATGTCAAAGTTGTTGAGTTGTTTTGATATGAATATTTGTTGAGCCATAGGTTCTTGGATCCTTCGTTCCCAGAGCTCCTTGTTGCTTATTCTTTCTGGTCATCTGAGCTCCACTATCGACTGAGCGTAGACAGTTGTTGATGTGTGGTGTCTGTAGTTTGCTGGAAATGCTTTCGTAACGCACCAAGTCTCCCAACCATCACATAGAAGCACTGACTTACTTAACTGAATTAGTGTTGAAAATGCGGATGTTGTTCACGCCTTATGCTGAGTGCAGAACATCTCCAAACTGGTTTCAGGTTAATGAACACCTGTCTTACTGTCTTTCCCACCCTGGTTTTGATGTCCTCATCTGTGCCTGTGCCGCCTGTAGTTGAAACGGTGCTGCCTGCCGAGGTGGGTAAAAGAGGCTACTTCCTTTAACTTCCTCCCGTTGATGGTGATTGGAGTTTGTTGTTGCTGTTGTTGTTGGCTTGGTATCTTCATCATCTCTGCCTTCTCTATATTTACTTGAAATCCCGTCTTCGCTGCCCTGCCCTGCCCTACCTCTTCTGTCAACTTGTTAGTTTTCGCCTGTAGATCTTCAAGTTTGTGCAACATCAGACACAAGTCATCGGCGAAATCCAAATCTTCTAGGTTCTTTTCCCCAGTCCAGCCAGCGTATCCCCCTCTTCTCACAGCTCCCCACTGTTTGTTGCATGATCTAGTCCACCACAACCAGGAACATCATGCGTGATAGTAGGCAGCCTTGTTTTACTCCTGTCTTCACTTCACTTCGAAGGCATCACTTAGCTTCCCATTGTGAATTACTTAACATGTGGCATCTTCATATAGTTGTTGGATGAGACTGATAATGGTTTGTATTATTCCATAGTGTTGGAACAGTTACCAAATTACTTCTCGGTCGACGCTGTCAAAGGCCTTCTCAAAGTCGATGAAGTTGAGGTGGAGAGTTGACTGCCATTCTATACTCTGTTCTATGATGATTATCAAGCTATTTAGTCGGTTTAATTGACCAGTGAATTGTCTTATTCATTTCATTATAAAGTGTGGAAGTGTTTGTCGTTGACTTACGAAGCTGAATTCTCCACCCAATGATGTCGATTTCACTCCATGTACACACGTCTTAATATTATTGTTTATTGGTTACTAGTGGGATACAGGACTATAACTAATTGTCTAGTAGGATGTGATGGCTAAATGCTTTCTTGATCATATCCTCATTGCAACTGTTATACAGTATCTATTACACAGAATATCAGAACGTTATTTACCTAGAATAGTATTAATAACCATCCCAAAACTATTTTTTTATTAAAATTATTATTGCCAATATGCACTAATAATGTGGTTTTAGACTATCATTTCAGTGGTTCAAAAAGAGCCACAATCATTTTCTTCATCATAAATCATGTGAAAGTTACAAATCGGTGAAGAAAAACCATTATGATAGTGAAATATAAATTAAATAAACCTCAGTAGTATAGGACAATGTAAACCTTCAAAAGGTTTATACATATGCCTCGAATGAAACGATTTTATTTGTTTAAATATTTATAAAAGATTCCCAAGGTAGACTTATAATTATAAGTGAGTATAGAAATCACCCAGAAAGAGTTTTAAACTTGTATCAACTGAGATTGTAGACATTTAGCTACCAACTTCACTGATACATGCAGTACAAAATAAATCTAGGTAGTGAAAGCTAGCCGGTTAGATGTGTTCCAGAAGGTTGTAGGCGGATATGTTGGTATACTTGTAGTCAGTAACCTCATGAATTCTTGACCTAGTTAACTTCAGGTCTACTTCAGTCCAAGAGAGAGAGAGAGTTTAACCCAATGTGCGAAGAGAGTGAGTAAACCACTTCACTCAACATATTTTTGAAGCTTTTATCGGCTAACTTCCTTGTATTACCTGGAACTGTACATCCAACATCATAACTGAAATTCAGGTGGTCCTACCGTGTAAAGACAACACTTGAAAGATGCCTTTAATTGATTAGCTAAGGTTCCTTTAGTTTTTCTTCTATTAGAATTGATCATGGTATCAAAGATACATAGTAGAATAGGTAAGACTGATTCACAATACGCTTTTCCTATGAGACATTCGGATATCTTGGAGAAGCTATTTGTAGCACAGATTTCAACGTGCCAGTAATCCATCAGCTGCCAACTCACTTGGCAGAATTAATACTGAACAATCAATTAGTCAATGAATTGATCAGAATTAATGGTTATTGCATTGATTTGTCACTGAAGAATAAACTATTCAGTATTGTGTGGTCTTAATTCCCGACCGAATCTACCAATGAACCTCATTCGACTCTCCCCTCCACCAGCTTTACTTATTGTATTGATGGCTGCTTTCAATTTGCCTATCATATCTGCTCTAATGATTCGTTCCAGTATTTGTTGTTGAGTTGTAATTGCTTTGTATCTGTTGTGAACATCTGATATCATTAGACGCACCATTTTTCTGCCGTTTTGTTGTGCAGTCTTCCATTCAGCAGTACAGTTGATGGGTGGTCTGTATCTAACACTCTGTGACAAGATATTCCACAGTGAGCATTCGTGTAAAAAGAGTAGCTGCTTTCAAGTGGACGCTCTCCAACCGGCAAAGTTCTCCTCATATCCGAGCGCAGAGAAGATTTTGAAGCTTTTAAGCTAGGAAGCTCACGATCAAGGTGGATGGAGAGAACGGGTAAGCAACCTTGAACTTAAGTTATATGCTTGTTGGCACTCATCCGCAAGGCGTATCCACAACCGTGAGCGAAATTATAACCCGCGTTACCTAATATCGCAATCAGATATGCTACCACTAAGTAAGTTCGGTCGTGACTGTTCAGTGGAAAATAAAAGATTTCACTTTCTCTATTCCTGATTACTAACAGAATTTTATCAATCATTCTGCCAGGTGGACAACAAGCTAGGAGATCCACCATCATGATGCATTTTGAGAAATGTTAGTTCATTAGAAGCAGATGATAATACGCCCTCGATCCAAGTTTTCTGATTGTCAGCGCTAGAGGGTAGACAGAATGAATCTATTTATACTCTAGTAACCAACCAATCACGTAGAAGTATGAACTGTGGCCCAAACAACTTAACTGTTGCAACACTAAGGGATGCCGGTTCGAATCTGTAAAGATACATCCAATCGCATGAGGTTTCAGATGTACCTTCAAAGAGGTAACAATAATTATTGCCAGAAATGTTTTCCTTATTTTCATTTGTAAAACTTTTAAATGAATTCAAAGTTATTATTTACCCAAAATTATGTTCTTCTTGCGTTAAAGTAAATATATCACTGTCTGTTGAAGCAATATCAGGATAAAACCAGATAACAAGTTTATCATTTATTATTGCCGCCAAGACATTCGATGTTTCTGCCCATATGAAAGAGGTAACCATTGTTCCTTGAAACAAACAAAAATAACCAAAATTAAGCTTAGTTGAATATTCTTCTCAAAAATTAAAAATTGTTCTGAGTTGGATTGATCGAAATAATTAACCACAGATTTCGCCAGCAAACTAAAAGTAATCTAAGCCACTATCTGATTTTATTCACTATATGAATGTGGTTATAGTAGATGAAAAAATCTTCCATTATTTAAACTTGCTAAGTTATTCTTGGTTGATGAATCTGTACACCAATCTATAGAAACACTGTCTGTCCACAATAGATTTACATTGCAATGAGACTTTCGTATTGTAGATCGTAAGCTGAAACCCTGGACGGATGGATAATTTCCAGTGCATAGTTTAAAAAAGCTACTCAAATCACAGAACAGTCAACATCGACTTTGAAATCTCACAACAACTTGGATAGTGTTCACTCGTTTAATGTCCTATTTTTCCCAAAAAAATATGTAGAAGAAGTATTTACTAACCTCAACATTCAGAAGGTAATAATTTTTCACCAAAGGTAAATAATGTACTACTTGTGCGTAGTTGCAGTACATATCGACATGATTTTCTAACTATAGGGGATCTATATGTATGGTGTGATGTGAAGGAAGTGAGTTGCCACTGACCAGTTTACTATTCCAATATGTGTAACATTTTTATTCTAGCATTTAATGAAATAGTTTTTTGCAGCCTATAAAACAATAAAAATTTGGTTAGAGAACGAAACTGATAACTTTGTTTTTAATGTAGTATTCATCATGGATTCAAATCATTTGGAAAACCTAGGATCATTGGAAAGCCGTTTCGTCCTGATATGGGACTTTTCAGCAGTACGCGTTCACAACCCGGTAAGGGATCCAACCCAGTACCTTGAGGTTTCTCGGTGAACGTATTAACCATTCACCTAGTGGGTCAGAGTTCAATGGTTCACAGCTTCCAACTTCTTTCAATTTGTGATATAGCATGAATATCACCCAAGGTCTTCAGTTGGTATCCGTTTCCATTCCGACTGGTTGAGCACACATGTCATGGCTTTTCATTAGAACTTCGTGATATATGTCTGTATGTATGTATGTATGTCACTAATGAGCACTACACAGTATATATTTTTAGGTTAATAAGGGTTTTAATTCTGAGGTAGACTAATACCCTGAAGTTCTAATGAGACGCCGTGACGCGGGGGTTTAACTAGTAGGAAGTGGAGCGAATGCCAAATAAAGGCCATAATGAATAATCGCACTATATCACGAACTTAAGTGAGTAGCACATTGTGAACCAGTGCGTTCCGACCCTTGAAACCCAATCATTCTGGGTCCGACCCCTAGTGGCAGCGCGTAGGTGCATAGCACTAAAGAGTCCTGCACCAAGATGAAACAGCTGTCCAGTGCTCTGAGGTTTCCAGTGGTTCTCCAACTGATGCCAGTCCGTTACGAGATGAATATCTCAGTTACCATGATGCAAAACAAAGTTACCGGATTATGTTTAACGAAATAATACAAATAAACTATGCAACCTGTAAATAGACAGAAGAATCACTAACACAAGCTTGAGAAATAGACACGAAAAGATACTGAAAGATAACGTAGGTGTTAAACTAACCAGTAAACTGGGAATGCAAAACCTTGGATCCTTTTATGATCTCAGAATCAGAACATCCATCAGTATGTTAGCATTGGACAAGTAGGTTGCTAGATCTTTGAAACTGCTTCAGTTTGCTGGTACACTTTATAACAGTAGTCTATGCATCTCTGTCATCGACTTGACTGAACTGATCGACCACTATTGAAATGAACGCCTTAATACTACCGGTATTTTTCAATTCTGATATTACTGATGGATAGTGGCTAGTAGCGGAATCCAAGACGAGCGTTTCCTCTCGTTTGGAACTTATCAGCCAAGTGTACCTGGCTTTTAGTGAGTGCTGTTGTTCCCATTGAGACTTGAACCCAAAATCAATCGTTCCGAAGGCCAGGGTGTTGTCCACCAGACCACTCAGTCATGACAGTCACTCCTTGTAAGACGGTTTTAATAAAGTCTTTGATGTTATAGCTTGTGAATCTCTACGCGTTCTGGATTCCACTGCTAGCCAATATCCATCATTAATATCAAATTCGAAAATACTAGCAACGTTGAGGGGCCTGTATAGGAGTCCATATTCCAATACTGGCTGATCAATCGAATCCAATCACGACGGAATAGTTGACAAGCCATAACATCGAAGACTGATCAAATTCTGTTTGATAAAGTTTGAAATGTAGTCACTAGCCTAAGTCACGCAACAATCTAGTGTACTCATTGTATAAGGTGTATCTCTACTTGTGTAATCCTGATGTAGTATATTAGAACAAATAACAAAATAAACAAATATTTTGTATTATTCCTCAACGTTTCGATCTTGCTAGGAAGATCCTTTTCAAGAGTATGAATCTGACACTGAGTTTTCAGGTTAATATTCAAGTTTTGGCACAGAAGGTGGTAGGTGACCTTTACAATCATGCAATTGTATCGTGATATTGATATTGAGCAAAGATCAATGTAATACAGGTGAGTGAATAAGCAACTCGGGCAGAGAGGCTTTCTTCAGTTGTACGAGTAAAGTCGAACAAAAATAGGGTGGGAAAAATTTCTAGTTCGTATATGAATATTACTATGGGGTTGTGAATCATCAAGGGTGAGAAAGAATAGATTACTAGTTTGTAAGGATGAATATTTGAACATCAGACAGTATATAATAAATAAATAATAATAATGATAACTATAAAGGTACTTTTGATAACACTTGAAGTATGAATGATAACAGAATTATGGATCGCGTCCATAGGATGTATATAACTCAGAAAGAAGCGTAAAATTGATAAAAACTATCATAGGAATAGACAAGTTGTTAAATTACAACCAATATTTTTTTCCTTTCTCCTCATGGTTAAGAAGATTTAGCGAAATAACACCGGAAACTATTCAAACAGGAGTGAATTCGGAATAAATAAATCATATGGAATGAAATTGTGTTCTACCTTCACTTCATATATTATTCACGACTGCCTAGGCGAGTCATTAATGTTTACCATATTAGTGGGATGTCTAACCCATCTTTTCTATTGACCGAAGAAGGATATGAACAGATATGCAAAGCTTCTGCAATGGTCCGCTGTTTGTGAGAAAGAAAACCATCTTGCAGAATTTTCGTCTGTTCGAATGATATTTTATGACCTGAATATAGGGCACTATTGTTAATGTAAGATGAAATAGGTTCATGAACTAGGTGCATAACATGATTATAGGTTTCGTTCGTTTTTAGAATCACTCATCAGTAGAGTATTTCTGAATTCTTTTTAATGTTAAAATATTACATTCATTATTTATTTCCAGATAATAAGTAGATAAAAACTGAAGTCAACAAGTAGGACAATGACTACCTTATTTCATTTATTATATCAAAACTTACCTAATTTAATAATTTTTCTTTGATTACCAAGTGTTCTAATAGATAATAAATAAAGATCTTTATTTTTATCTAATACAGCTAGACGCCGATCAAATGAATTACCCAACTGATTCAAACTGATTTTCATAATTTCATTCTTCAAGATAAAGGAAGATTATATAACATAATAAATCATGATCATGTAGTACAACATAAGGTCAGTAGATCATGCCATATCAAGAGAACAATATAAAAGGTAAAAATAACGTTGATCTGAAGATTGGAATGTTATACATTTAGTTTTCTTGACAAATTTGAACAAAATAAGAAGAAAAAGCATTCACAGAATAAAATGAGTTCATCCTATTTCATGGCCTCTCATCAAATGTAAACAACCTGCAATTGAAATAAAGTACTAATAGTAATAGTCGCATGACTTACTTTAAATATGCAGAAATAAATGGAGATTTAAAATCCAGGATTAACAATCAAATAGTGAGTGAGTCAGGGAAACACAAGATTCATAGTTAGAAGTCGTAGTCAAAATCAATGGCAATTTATGTCTGATGAGATAAATAAATTTGGGAGTTGTGTAGTGGGTGGTGGGGGTTTACAACGAACGAAAATCAGTGTACACGAGGGGACTGTTCAAGAGCTATTAGGTTACATAACTACATGGGAAACTTGAAAATCGTGAAGTGATTAACAGACGGTAAGTAGTTAATGAAGAGATGATGCAATCGAAAGAAAAGAGATGACATACATACGCATGCAAAAAATTATGATGATTTTTGGGGTTCGCCGAGATTCACAGTTGATAGATCCCAAAAGCTTCAATTGGAAACAAAGTTAGCAAGCACCTAAGGGAACTGTTGAAGAGGCAATTGATTTTTGGTGCAACCAGGAGTTTCACGACTACCCTTCAGGTAGGCCCTTCCAAACATTCATAAGTTAAGTATTCCTTTGAGATCCATTTTGTCCGTGATAAATTCACCTTGGCGGCTCGTTGGTTAACAAGGAAATTGAAACCCATCAGAAAAAGGTTCACAAATCACAGCTTGAAGCATACATTCCAAACCTCTCAAGAACTGGATAGATTAAATATTTCAGATAAGTTCATGGTATCGTTTGATGATTCTTTATGAACACACCGGTGGATGAAACGATAGACATAATCTGTCAACAGTCTGATCTAGTACCATTGCCGAAAACAAAACTCAAACAGGACCACAAATTTATTGATATCAGCCATAACTGGAAAGTATTAACTAAGGCTAGGAAAACTGTGTGATTAGTTGACTGGTCGTCTATCAGTAGACTTGAAAATGCAGCTTAAAGACAATGATGTGTTAGATATTCAGTAGTGAGTTAATGTAAACAATTACTGCTCCTCTGTGCAAAAAGTATTCAGTTCCAGTTTAGTAATCAACTACTGATGGATTGGCTACGGGTTCACCACTAGGACCTATCCTAGCTGATACATTCATGGCTGATTTCAAACGAGCAAGTCTGAAATCTGCAATCAATGAAACGACATATAACTTCAGGTATGCGGATTATACTTCCATTTTTTGTGATATTATGAATCATGCGTCACAGTTTTTCAGAACCTTCAATCCAGCTCATCCAAATATTAATTTAACTGTGAAATACGAAAATGAGGACAGATCCAATTTTTTATATCTAAGTATAAAACGGAGATGTGATGGTACAGTTGGGAGGACTATCCACAGGAAAGACATGTGGATTGATCAGTACATTCTGTACAATAGTTTCTGTCTTGTCAACTACAAGCGTAATTTAATCAGGACACTATTCACTGGGATAAAACGCTGTGTTCAAAAGATAAACAAGAAGAAGAATTCGGTAGCATTGAGAAGGCTCTTATAGATAATGGATACCAGAAGAAATTCATCATGAAGAATGAAAAAGAATTTATTGAGTGACCGAAACATCCAGCTGTTGAGAAGAAGCTTGTTTTCCTTCGTCTAGCATTCAAAGATGATGAAACAGCTGAGAAAATAGATTGAAAAATAAAAGCTGCACTGAAAAAGAGCTTCCCTGTTGTGAGACTGATCTCAGTTCATAATCAAATATGTTCAGTAACACAGTCAAAAGTAGACAAATACCCATCTCACGTCACATCCAACTGCGTATAACAATTCACCTGTGCTTGTGGAAGCAAGTACATAGGACGGACCAAAAGAAGAGTGCCTTTTCGATTTTATAAGTATATTCCAAGAAATCTGTGTCTGAAAGGTAGCAAGATCTCTAACAGCGCAATCGACAGTCACCTGATAGAAATGGGACATCAAATAGACGTTTCTCAGTAGTTCAGGATAATCAACAAACAAAGAAGTCAATGTTTATCACGGTTTGCAGAAGCTATCACTATCAAACATTTTCAGCTTGACCTATATACTCAAAAAGAGACTGTAATTAACCTTTGTTTACCTCGGTAACTGTATACAATTTTTTGCATGCGTATGTATGTCATCTTCTCTTTTCTTTCGACTGCATCATCTCTTCATTAACTACTTACTGCCTGTTAACCACTTTACGATTTTCAAGTTTCCCATGTAGTTATGTAACCTACTAGCTCTCAAACAGTCCCTTCTTGTACACTGATTTTCGTTCGTTGTCATCCCTTCCCCCACCGCCCACTACATACCATCAACGGGAGGAAGTTAAAGGAAGTAGCCTCTTTCACCTACCTCGGCAGGCAGCACCGTTTCAACTACAGGTGGCACAGGCACAGATGAAGACATCAAAACCAGGATTGGAAAGACAGTAAGACAGGAGTTCATTAACCTGAAACCAGTCTGGATATGTTCTGCACTCAGCATAAGGCGTGAACAACATCCGCATTTTCAACACTAATTCAGTCAAGTAAGTCAATGCTTCTGTGTGATGGTTGGGAGACTTGGTGTGTTACGAAAATCATTTTCAGCAAACTACAGACACCACACATCAACAACTGTCTACGCTCAGTCGATAGTGGAGCTCATATGACCAGAAAGAATAAGCAACATGAAACTCTGGTCTGCAACGAAGCATCCAAGAACTTGTGGCCCAACAAATATGCTGAGGAAGGAAGTGGATATGGATTGGGCATGCACTGAGACGACCGATTGGAGACATGACACACCAGACCACTTGCTCGAGTGGAACGCAGATAGGAAATGGCGAGTTTGGTGTGGGTGTGGAGGGTGACATGGAGGAGATAGTGTGAGTAAGAAATGAGAGCTTGTGGGCAGTGTTGGATGCAGGTTGGAAAGATTGTAGAGAAGAGAGTGGAATGGAGACGTGCCATTGAACCCCTTTTTTCCACTAGGAACCTAAGGGATAAATAAATGTATATAAATAAATATGTCATCTTCTCTTTTCTTTCGATTGCATCATCTCTTCATTAACTACTTACCGTCTGTTAATCACTTCACAATTTTGAAGTTTCCCATGCACTTACGTAACCTAATAGCTCTTGAACAGTCCCCTCGTGTACACTGATTTTCGTTCGTTGTAAACCCCCACCACCCACTACACAACTCCCGAATTTTTTTTATTTCATCAGACATAAATTGCCATTGATTTTGACTACGACTTCTAACTATGAATCTTGTGTTTCCTTGACTCAATCACTATTTGATTGTTAATCCTGGATTTTAAATCTCCATTTATTTCTGCATATTTAAAGTAAGTCATGCGATTATTACTATTAGCACTTTATTTCAATTGCAGGTTGTTTACATTTGATGAGAGGCCATGAAGTAGGATGAACTCATTTTATTCTGTGAATGCTTTTTCTTCCTACATTGTTCACAATTGAACATCAGAGCTTATTCTGTTAGCTATGTACCTAACTAATCGTATAATTCAGTAATTTAGTTGAGACCTGCTTGGTGGCTAACAGCGCGATCCAAGATGAGCATTTTATCCTATTTAGGACTCGTCAGGAAGATATAGACGAACTACAGTGATCTATGTAGTTCTTACTGACACTCAGATCCCAGTTTTCATCGTTTCAAACGCCAGAGCGTTATACACTAGGCCCCTGGAGTACAACAGCCAACTTTTGTACAAAGGGTATTATTGTATGATACTTGCGATTCCCTGTTGTTCTATTGGCTGACAAGTTCGTGATAGGAAGAAACGCGTTTCCTAGATCCCATTGCTAGCCAACAAATAGATTACAAATATAATGAGTATCCTGGCAGTATCAAGCCATCCACATAGGACCCCATCAGTCAACAGAGGTGGAGCAATTTGACTCAGTATAGCAACGAGAAATTGTAAGTATCAACAAACATTAGTAATTTGATTTTGCTGAAAACCGCGGATTTATTGATATCAGCTATAACTATAAAGTATTAACTAAGGCTAGGAAAACTGTGTGACTAGTTGACTGTCCATCTATCAGTAGACTTGAAAATGCAACTTAAAGACAATGATGTGTTAGATATTCAGTAGTGAGTTAATGCAAACAGTCAACTCATCTAACGAAGCAGATGAGGAACTCAATATTTGGAAAGTTATCATAAACACTTTAAGTTTATTCATCAGACGTACTTATAAAGCTTAAAATGAAGATAGATTGCTCAAATTGCTAATAAACATTACCAGTTATTCCAATAAACTTATATAGCAGTTTCTTGCAAGCGTACAAACAACTAATGAATTCCAACTACAGAGTTGTTAAAATCTAATTAAACTATGGTCAAAATCTTACTGCAGAGACAGATAATAGAAGAAAGTCTTTCAGTTAACATAGTTAAGTACAGTCTTCAGCTTCACTGATTCATTGTCATCACTTCAATCTTTCAAGGCAAAAAAAACGACTAAATCCTATGATAAACTCTCGTGGTGAAACATTGTTACCCGATCACTTTTGTGTGAACTTCTAGTAACTTGAATCATTGAACAATTATGTCAGGACTTTTATATTTGTATGCCTGTTTGTCTGAAATATTTCTTAACCAAAGTGAAAGTCTAAATAAATCTGATCCCGTTACCCTCAAGAATATCCTGTCATGAAGAGATTCAGGCATAGATAATGGATTCAGTCTGAAGGAATTCAGCCTTTTCAAGGTTTCGATTCAGATTGGTATTTAAAGAAGCTGAGTAGGAAATATGATTCATAATAATCAATTATAAGTATTTTTATCAGTAAGAGAAAACTTTCAAGAATTAACAATATCTGTTGAACAAATACCTGATGCTATTCCATGATGAGTACCGACCTGAAGTCAATAAATCCCCACAAAAGCCATAAAACTGAATTAATCTAGTACTCATTGGTGACTAGCTTCGAGAGGTGATTACCGAAGTTCCACTTAGAAGTCGTGACCAGAGCAGTCAGTCAAGTCGAAAATGAGAACCGTTACTCAGTAATGACATTAAATGGAGATCGCGCTGTATTGTGCACTGACAGGCGTAGGAACTATGCGCCAGTGGATTCCGACCAAGTAGCCCAATGGCAACGTGCTGGTTATGGAACCTGAAGATCCTGGGTGATGGGTGAGCACTGTCGAAGAGTCCCACACTAGGACGAAACAGCTGTCCAATGCTTTCAGGTTTCCAATGTTCCTCCAACTGACGTCATTCCATGATGAATACCAACTTAAAATCAATAAATCCCTACAGCAACTTCGAAATAGAAATAACTAGAAGCCAGCTAACAATGAGAGGTCGCTTTATTGTGGTAAAAACAGTTTTCCTTATTACTTGTTATCTTCTAACAATAAGGTACTTTGGAACTTTGGATTAGTTGATTCTCCAAGAAAGTTGAACGTGCTACATTTCAGTTACTTGGAGACTTAGTTCAAGGTAGGCATTTAAAAATTCCATGCTGCTTCTCTATCTACCTATCTATTTATATGCAACAAAACTTTGGACAACTAAACGTCTACTATTGCCTTATTAATCTGGTTTCTGATTTTTGTCACTACTTGTCAGCTATACATGTTGTTCATTGGTTTTAATACAGAATAAATTTACATTTTACTATTTTCGAGTTTTTGTTCTGTTATAGTGTGCAGTAAGATTGAGAGAATCTTCCTAAGAAGTCATAGATTCTTGAAGGCTTTAACAGCTAATCAAGTTGCACCGAAGTCTTGATATAAAGTATGTGAACCAACGTGTAAATCTCTGATTGGTTGAAGAAACGAAAATCAACAGGATATTAAAAACTAGAAAGGTCTAGAGTCAAGGTCATCGTAATTATATATAAGGCCTCGTATTTTGCATACATTTTTGCAGTACACCTCCTGTTCTCTCTCTCTCTCTCTCTCTCTCTATATATATATATATATATATATATATATATATATATATATATATATATATATAATCATATATATATATATATAACTGAGCTGAAAAATCAACTCAAAAATATGCCAGAATTCAATATTACCGAGTGTATAATTGGTTTTCCATCGCCCAATGTTTTTCCACTCGACGTATCGAATAAATAAATGGCTAAAACATAAAAGGAAAATAAGAGAGAAGCGGCTTTTCATTACAGATAATTTGCATTAAACAACAACATTTTTCGATAAATACATATAGAGGTATTATTCATGCACATGATCACATACAAATGTCTTTGGTGAATTGATTGAACCTCACACTCTATGAACAGTTGACTGTCTTAGCTTAGTCAGTAGTGCGCAAAGTTGGTGATCCATAATTTGATCCCCTTAATCAGTAGTAGGTTAGCTTACCTACTACCGAAAAAGGAGATGACCTAACTTAATTAGATGCATCTAAAATATCGAAATTGTTAAAAACATCCAGCAGACTTTTAAACGTCAAAGTTATTGATCCAGAGCAACCAATCAACGAGAAGCATGCAGCTTCGAGAAGATAATTCTACCAGTCGAAAGACAGTTGTTCTGTTGATTTAGACCAGACTAACTAGAATAAAATCAAAAATATTAAAAGAGTGTTATAGCTGGCGATTTCCAGCCTTCAATATTAACGGTCCTCTAAGAATGTCTCGGCAATGCCAATGACTTCATTTTGGTAGAAATGATGGATAATGGCCAACAATGGAATCCAGGATACACGTCTTGTTCCATTAGGGAATCGTCAGCTGAATGCAATTGCCTGTCATTGTGGTGTTGTTCCCACTGATATTCGAACTCAGTGTGGAACAATTCTATCAAAGTGAAGGTATTGTCAATATCAAGGTATTTGCACGGGAGCCAATATGCTAGTACGGGTAGATTAATACGGTTCGATCAACGGGTGGGAGCTACGAACGATTGTATCAGACAATATGGTCGTCCTAGATGGAGTGACTATCGTAACTCGTAGGTTAGCAGATAATGCTCTGATGTTTGAAGTGATGCGAGCTGGGTCCCATGAGGAAAACACCACTCACTTATAGGTAGGGGCATCCGGCTGATGAGTCCTAACTAGGACGAAACGCGCAAGGTAAATTCCATTGTAAGCCATTTTCTATCAATAATATCAATGTCTTAAAAAGTTTATCTCAAAGAAATTAATGAATCAAGGAAAACCAGTTTAGTTTTCTAGAATGAAAGGGATAAAATCTACTTGTCTTCAAAAGATTGATGATTCATATCCTATGGAAATGAAGATGTTTCTTTCCGTTTCTATCCTCAACCAACCTTCTACAAATAGAGAAATTTGACTGCTAAGTTTGTTTCATATGATTTTCTTCAACATAAAATTAATTTTGTATGGAATATCATAATTATATTAATGTAAGTATCCATTCAAATCTCACCTTTTTCATCTAATTTATCACGAACTGCAATAGCATCATTACTGATTGTTAAAGTATCTCCATATATTTGTTCTGTATACATATTAGCATGTTTTGGTGAACAAACAAGACGTACATCATAATTATAAACATAGATATTTGTTCCATCAGCCAATGCAAAATATCTGTAATAAAATAATTAATAATATTAAAAAAATTACTATGGATGTTACACAATTAAACTAATTCATTGAATAAGCCTATCTTATACAGGGTGGATATTTTGATAATGAGAAGACTGAATAAAATTTACTTATAAATGTAATGGGTACTAACCTATCTGACAAAGCGTGTGATAAACTGAGTAACCGATGGTGAACATTCAACTACTGGCTGAAAAGATGAGGATGTCAAAACCAGGATCGGAAACACATCAAGATAGGCCTTTATTAACCGGAAATCAATATGGAGGTTTTACTGCACTGCACTGCACTCAGCATAAAGCGTGAACAAGATCCAGATTTTCAACACTAATGTCGAGTAAATTAGTGCTTCTATATGGTTTAGAAATTTAGTACGTTACGAGAAGCATTCCCAACAAACTGCTACCACCTACGCTAACTGGATACCGAAGATCGGATAGCCAGAATAGCTAGAATAAGCAACAAGGAACTTTGGCTTGCCGACGAACTAACCAAGAACCTATCACCCAACAAATATGCAGTAGAAAGTGGAGATGGATTGGGCATACACTGAGAAGACCGACTACAGACATCACGCTCCAGGCAAGACCCTCGAGTGGAACCCAGAGGAAGAATGACGAGTTGGGTGTTCGAGGCGGGGATGACATGGAGGAGATGGTGTGAGGAAGAAATGAAAGGTTGTGGGCAGTGGGGGAGCCAGGTTGAGCGAGACTGCAGAGAAGAGAGTGAAATAGCGACGTGGTACTGAGGCCCTATGTTCCACTAGGAACCCACAAGACAAATAACTACTAGAGAAAATGGTGAACAACGAATTGTATATTCCTTAGTTCTTATTGATGGCAGAATTCGATTAATAATATTGCAATGTGATCAATAAACTAGAAGATTTACTACCACAATGCACTTTTTTCGATGTTAAGAAGGTGTAGGTAATCGGTAATAATCCATAGTCCCACATCTCTCGGCACCCATCAGTAAGGAATATCTGCAAACAAAACTCTTGTTTTTCACTCACAGATGTTACACCTGAACTTCTAACCAAGTAAAATCTATACGAGTGCAATGTAATGATGAGTGTCCAAGTATAATGATCAGATTGAAAAGTGATCGATAGGATTTTGTCGGCACTTAGGAATAGACAACGAAACACGTTACATCTTAGTCACCAATCAACCCTTCCTACAGGAGATCAGTTGCAACCCAAAAGTAGCGTTGGTAACGTCTACACCATTTTGGTCAGTTTATTAAATGCGTCACATAATTAAACAGTATTATTTACTGGATAAGTTTTTGAACACAATTTATTGTTCATCTTCATATCATGCAACTCCACAAGTTTGAGACATGCTTTATACAGTTTTAGTTCTGTTGCCCTCTTCGCGATTAATCATTGTAACGTTAAATTCATAGGCCAAAGAAGTCAAATAGGGTCAATGAGGCTGTCAAAGCACAAAAATTTAGCTAGATCAAGCTTGATAGACGATAATGAATCTACAGAAAAGCTTTGTTCAGGCAATATATGCAATAGGATGCGCCAGAGTGACAGTCCTTAAAACCAACCTAGTGGGGAGGAGGGTGAGATTGATGATCAAATCTTTGTTTATCAAATCAGCACCAAATACATACTATAGCAATGACTCAGCACTTGTTTCGGGTACATGGAAAGTTCTACTACTTATATCGCAAAGAAGGTGAGAGATCTATAAACAAATAAAAGGTATCTCAAACTTGTGTAGTTATCATGATATGACTATGGAAAATGATTTGTGTCCGAAACGTTATGCAGTAAATAATACTGTTCCAGTGTGCGACACATCTAATAAAAATGTTACGTTTTCTGCTCTAGCACCGAATAATGTGAGTACGGATCTCTGTGAAGAAATCAGCTCCTAAGAGGTGGAAGATAAGCTAAGCTGATGAGTCCCAATAATCGCAAAACCTACGTTCACAGCTTCTTCCCGATCGCGTTCTGTCATTTTACGTTGACATGAACTGTTGTTATGAAACTTTTCATCAAATAGTTCTAGTCTGGCTGAAGACTTTAAGCCTAGTATTTTTGACTGTTTATGAAATTCTAAGGAATCTGGATGTGCATTGGGACTATCGAAGCATCTGGTTTTGTCTCAAGTTTTCCCCAATCCATCACTGTATAACTAAACGTATACCATAGGAAAGTGATTAGATTACTAATCATTCATCAAAATATCTAATTAACTGGATAACTGGTTACGTTGCTCGCTGATACTTGAAGTATTTCAAGGAATTGTTGATGAGGCCATCTGAGATAATCGTGATTCAGCGGACTAGTATTGGAAATTCATGTCGATTATCCAAAGAAAGATTACCACTTCATAGATTAAAAACCAAATATAAAGGAAGAATGTTCTTTTTTCATCAAGTTCTATAGTCTTAGAATCAATTGCGTTAGCATGTTAATAGCCAAATTTTGTGGCAAATGCATTTTAGAATGGATATGGAATTATGATGAAAATTATGTCCTTTAAGTTTTCGAATGATGATAGTGTATGTCAGTTGAGTTTAAACTTTATCAATCAGTCGGTGATCAGATGTATGAGGAAGGCAAATTAATACTGAAGTTCATGGTTGCATTATGTCGACTGAGAGATTAGTACAAAGAATATTGACATGAATTTACTGTAAGGTTAGAAATGGAGTTAATATTTCATCAAAAGATGGTTGAAATGTGAAACGACTAAGATAATAAGACCATTGGAGTAATAATAATAATGTGAGAAAAGAAAATTTTAATAGAAATTTTATAGGTTTATTATGATAAGATGTGAGGAAGGTTTGGTTACAACTAATGGTAATGGTAATAATAATTTTGCGTTGTCTTTATAATGAGAAAGAAACAAAGAGAGCGGGAACAAAAGTAGAAACCAAAACAGAAGATTAGGAAAGAAACAAAAAGGTTGAGGGAATACCATTTAGTCAGTGGAAGGTCAAGGGAGGAGTAGGGCTTAAACGTGTTCTTTTTGAATACAAACTTCAGGCTTGGTTAATCCTCTAGCTACAGCTTCTGCTATATGGAGAATGCGTAACTGAATGGCAAATGGTAGAGTCTTTGGAATGTGGTATATCACAGTAAAAGTTGTCCTAGCATCTATTTAGTGTCCTGTATTGATTAGATGTGCTAGTATAGAAATTCTAATGGATTTTATCTCACCCTTTGCAGACTATGATGATAGATGTTCACGTATCCTGAAACGGATGTGTTTAATAGTGCACCCTATATAACTTGCTCCACAGGGACAGCTGAACTGCTATATAGTAAATTCATGTCAACATTCTTTGTACTAATCACTCACTCGACACAATGTGCAACCTTGAACTTTATTGCTAATTCGTCTTCCCTGATTGATAAAATTTACACTCAAATTATCACCGCAGCTGATATACACTACCATCTACAAAATTAAAGAACCTACTTGCAATTATAATTCCATACTCATTCTAAAATGCATCTGCCGCAAAAATTTGGTTATTAACATGCGAACGCAATTGATTCTAAGACTTAAACCTGATGAGAAGTTATCAAGAAGAATATTCTTCGTTCATATTTGGACTTTTGATGATGTAGTCACGCATAATTTCACATCATTCATATATTTGTTGTGTAAAACTATGTGATTTTAAAGTCACTGTCAGTACAGCGGCCAGATTTAAAATTCATTCCATCTAGAATTACTAATTCTGACTATTAAACATATTCTCTTTTCGGAGCTTTCTATCCCTGTTTGCTGATATCAGGTGTAACAACTAAGGTAGTCACGCGGTATTGCCAGATCCCATCTTGATACTCACTGACTGACTGACTGGTTAAATAGCCCTGCCTAGCTTGATAGACTTCTTTTATTCCTGGTTATTACATCACTTAGCTACGTAACCCTAACACTGGCTTCTTATTTGTAAAACAAAACACAGACAGACAAAATCAATATGGGACGTCGCACGCAACTGTATCGGCACAAGTTGCCACACTTTACAGCAATATACAAACAATAGGTGGTTAGAAAAAGAGTGATAAAGTAGTGTGAGAGGATCAGCAATCTGAAGATAAAGGTTAGTGCAAATATTCAAGCTTTAGAAGATCGAATTCCTGCCATGTCTCCAAGAATCCTCAAACACTGATTCCTTTTGTCTCGTGAACCTCAACCAGGATGTCTACATTTGCCTACACGGCTCAGAACCAACAATCAGGAGCTTCATCAACCGCTGCCAAGTCCTATTCCTGGTCATTTTGAACCCTCTTCCAACGTAATCCAACTACTCTCGGCATGGTATACTGACGTAGGTGGTGGCTCGACATGCACAGTACATGTCCAAAACATCTCAGTTGACTAGGGTTCACAACCTCGTCAATCGACTTGCCTGTCTTGCTTAGTACCCATCACCTAACCTAAATATAGTTAACACAGTGAATCTAACAAACACGTACGATGCCACAAAGACACTTGTGATCGAAAAATGTAACTGCTTCACATCTTGTATTCTTTACGGCCATGTTTCATAGTCGTATAACAAGGTGAAATTTACTGTAGTGAAGTATCCTCGTTCCTTGATAGATAGCAGATTATCTTGCCGACGCAACAGATGATGGCAAATGCAAAGCAGACCTTTAGTATCCGAACTGAAATTTTGTCAGCAACCAACCTATTCGGGCTGCTGCAACTACATAGGTAAGTGAAGCGGTCAACACACTTCACCACTTCACTCCTTAACATTAAACTATTCCTTGAAACTTACAACTTATTGAAGTATTTACTAGTGTACAATCATACTGAGTAGGAAAACACTGAAGAAACCCGGTTCTACCTTGATTACTTTTTTTGCAATGGTAAATACACGCAGAAAACTAAGAAGATGACTCTATAACATTTCCAGTAAAGAAAACTACTCCAGTTATCACTAAAGTTAGACGAAGATTTCAACAAGTGTCAATAAAAACAAGCTTCATATACAGGAAGATTGAATATTTTTTATGTTTCTCCTAGTTAACATCAGTGTTCTCGATGATAAACCACATGAACTGTACGAAAGACAGAAAGTTCATATTTCAATGGAAAATCTCAAGTTATCGATTAATTAAAACAGATTTTATCTTGTAGCGAAGCTGTATGAAATATGATCTTAACCAGTAGATAATAGTGAAAATTTTCAGTTATCTTATCAGCTATACCCTCGCCTCCCAAATTACAATTTATGGCTTAAGTAATGTCAGAGTTATGTAATAAACTTTTGGCTAATAAGGATCAGTTGCTTGATGGCGTTTTAACTCTGTATACTAGATGAAGTGTTGGTAATATGTATTGTGCAATCATAGACATTAAATACTTCAAAGTTTAAACAGTGAATAAAGTAGGAGCGCAGTGATGTTTATCAATACAAGTCTGCCAAATTGATAGTCAGCAGTCGAGTTTCATAGCTCGGTTGGTAGAACAATGGGTAGAGAACCCGTTAGTCACTGGTTTGAACAATTCTGCGGCTCAAGTTTTAATTTCATCATCAATCATTACCCAATATCCATGCAAGTCTACTAAACTATGCTTATCTCAGATAGTTAAACTGATAAAATAAAAAAGTAATTGCTAGGCAATTTATCATACTCAAATATCGTGACCTAATGACTAGTATTATCCAGTGTTAATGACAGAAATTAGAAAAAGTTTAATGGTGCTATATTCTGTATGCTAGACGACTTAACCTTGAAGTTTTCATAGTCATTCCAGACAATATACTATTGGCATAAACTTTACAAAAATGATGAGCTGTAACAATTTCACTGAAATTGTCTTACTATCTTGTCTTGATAGAATCTACAAAATTACTTGTAGTATATGAGAAAAATACTCTACAGAACAGAGTGAACACTGTCTATGTTTTCAATAGCATGAATGCCAACTGTCAGCTAAACATCATTGACTATCCATGTCAATATAAATACATGTGAACATGTATACAAGTGAAACCGATTGGGAAAAATATAGAAGTCATGTATAAAAGGAAAAATGCAGAATATCAGAGGGTTAAGAGGAACAAAGTTAGAGGTGACAGCAACTATTCAGTCAGTCAAAATATATTCATTGGCAATGACAATAAAATTAGAGAAGTAACCAATCATATTCCAGGATAGCTGAAATCTGCACTGATAACATTCATTTCATGCTCTACATTATGCATCATCCAATCAACTTGTAAAGATTACTCGATACATTCTAACACTTATAGTCTGTTCATTATAATACTAATAATGAAAATATTACTAAATGAATGATTAAACTAACTTTTGACATTGAGCAACATAGGTTACATTGTACTCTTTGAGATCTACAATTCCAGGTGTATTAAAATTCTTTGTACTGAATAACAAAAATGAAAAGATATGGAAAGAGTTGAATGATAATAATAATACCGATAATTTCAAGTTGTTATTCATCGTAGACTGACATCAGTTGGAGGAACAAAGGAAACCTGGGAGCACTGGACAGCTGATGTCAGTCTACGATGAATAACAACTTGAAATAATTCCGAATCTCCACAACTTCCTCAAAATTTAATTGAACTGGTGCTCATTGGTGACTAGCTTCGAGAAGTATTCCCGAAGTTCCAATGAGAAGTTGTGACCGGTGGAGTCAAAGCCTGATGGCCGTGAGGACAGATACTCAGCGTTGATATTGGGTAGTGGTTGCGCTATATATCGTGAGCTAACAGAAGTTGGAAATATGGAGCATTGGATTCTGACCCAGTGGCTCAATGGTAACGCGCTGGCCGCGGAACCTGAGGTCGTGGGTTCGATCCCTGCTGGTGGGGTTGTGGGTGCGAACTGCTGAGGAGTCCCATACTAGGACTGAACAGCTGTTCAGTGCTCCCAGGTTTCCTTTGTTCCTCCAACTGATGTCAGTCTACGATGAATAGCAACTTGAAATAATTCCAAATCTCCACAACTCCCTCAAAATACCGATAACAATGAAATATGACCAGAGGTAATGATAACTGTTTCTAAGAGAATTTTCACTAGTATATTATTATTATTCATAAAAATAGATTCACTTTTTCTGGAGTTTTTGCTGATGTTGTCTAGAATGATAGAAAATGAAGCCTCTACAATTAAAGTATCCAGCCGAGAGAACACAACACCATCGAAAAATAGATTCTCAATTTATTTTCATTCAGTAGTTATGGTTCCGTACACTGTTCCCTATATTGTACCTTATTCACATGATCTCTTTAGTCTCCAGAATGTTATTCATCATGGAGTGAAATTAGTGATACAACCCTTGAAAATCTAGAAGCACTGAACAGCTGCTTCGTCCTAGTATGCGACTCCTCATCAGTGCACACCCATGATCTCACTAGAGATCTAACCTAGGACCTTCAATTCCTACAGCGATCACATTTCCATTGAGCCACTGGATCAGAATTCAGTGCTCCACATTTTTCACCTTTATCAATTAGTGATACAGTGCGACCTTTATCCAACGCTACCGTGGAATATTTGTCTTCATGTCTGACTTGGTTTGCTCAAATGATCATGACTTCTCATTGGGACTTTTTTTGAGATTTCATCTCAAACCATGTTGTTAATGAGCATTGAACAATAATTCCACTTGGAAGTTTGTGAAAATTGATTGATTTCATGAATGCTCACTGCTGAGGAGTCCTAGACCAGAAGGAAACAGTTATCCGGTACTCTCAGGTTCTCCAACCGATTTCATTCAATGATGAATACCACCTTGAAACCAATAAAGCCTAACAAACCTCCAAAATGAATTGTTTTGGTTCTCTTCACACACACTAACATACATACTGACTGTAAATAGATGAACTTGATGATAAGTCAAAACTATTGTTAGTGAGTTAATGCTTAAACCAGTCATCGAGTTATTTGAACTCATTCCTGCTTCAGCAACGTTACCATTAAGCTACTTGCGCCACGGCTCACCTCCTGTACAACCGGATGAGAGATACATCTTGCTGACAAATGCCAACAAGCACGATCGACTTTAACCAAATAGCTTGATAGCCACACTGCAAAATTCGGTCAGCACATAGGACTAGACAACTTTTAGTCAGTAATTGATCGAAATAAAACTTGCTGCACTTAATAAGGTTGTCTTCATCCCTTAACTTCGTTAACCCTCACACAACAAGTGTAGCTCATCGGCTTGTAGACAAAATTGTAGATGACATCTAAGTTATATTACTATTATTATTACTGTTTTATCCTATACGTACTGTTAAGTAGTTAGGGTGATAGAATAACAAGAAGTTTCCTATCGAATTTCATAACAAGAAGATATTTTCCTGAGAACAATGAAATTTACTAGTTGAAGATAACTATTTATTTTAACTTGGAGGTTTGAGGGGATTTTATTGAAATTTCTTATCATTTACTCCCAACGATTTACTACTGGATAAAGTAGAACATAGAGTTCATCTATTTGGTCAAATTATTTGTCATAATGTACACTTCGTTAATGGAATATAATTATTACTGTGAGTAGTTAAACAAGATGATATTAGCTACTATTCAGAAACTGATTATTGCGAAGTAGATGTGTTCAATAGAGAAACTCTTGGGTTCTAACATTTATGGATGAGTTCTGCAATGAATGATGTCCACTACCCATCTTAAGTGTCAGTATGTCTTCGATAATGGAGAGTTTGATAGCATTTCTATAATAATGGTTCGAAAACAGCGTAAAAAGACTAACATGTAACTATGAGGTGCTAACAGCAACACTTACTTGTAAACATAACATTGTGTAACTGTGACTACAATGAAATAATTGAAACCAAAGGATATTTTAGATACACGTTCACGAAATTCCAGTCGTTCTACTGATTCATTACGTAAATTATGTACTATAACAGTTTTTTCGTCGGTAACACATGCTTCGAAGCCATTCCATTCAATCCTTCTATCGATAATTTGTCCACTAATTATCCGACCATTCCCACCAGCACAGGCTATTTGAGTACCATCAATAGACCATTTTATACTGAGTATACTTCCAGTTTGTGTCTTTTCTATAGAATGAATCCACTAAAATTATATGAAAAGGGAAATTTTACTTTGAATTAGGGTGAAAGGAATAATATTATGGGTGAATAATACTCCATTGGCTTAATTAGTACACATTGGCCGTATACTATGAAATTTTTGGTCATTACAAAACTCTGATAAATGAACAAATAAACGGATAGATAAATGAATGACTGACTAACTGAGTGACTGGAAAACATTAACAGATTTGTGAAAAATGCGGTGTTTAAGATTTCAAATAAAACAGCACGTCATTGGTAAACGTGACGCTTGTCTTCTTGTTACGCCTATATTGAAACAGAACGTGTTCCCGAATCATTCCATAGTGAATAGAAATGGTATGTTTCGAAGCAAATCATAAGTTATTATTTATTGGCACTTTTAATTTCCCGCTGCTACGCTGGGCCGAACACCTGAACCTCTGTTGGCAGGTGGGTTCCTGAACAGATGCTTCAATATTGCCTAGATATCCCTTAAATTGTAGTCTATTTGGATTCCAACAGTGGAATCCATAACGTCCTATTTGTGACTCCAATAAAATGAATATCTGAGTATATCTGTACTAGAACCCATCTACCATCAGAGGTCTAGCAATCAGACTCAGTATAGCAACGGGAAATTATAAGTATCAACCAACAACAACTGATAAACTTGGACAATAGGTGGCTGTTTTACTCTTATGGCCTAGTAGATAGCCCTTTGACGTTTGAATCGATGGTTATTGAGCTCAAGTCTCAATGGAAACAACATCACTCATTGGAGTGTACGTACATTCGGCATGTGAGCCCCAAAGACGACGAAACACATGTCCTGGATTCCACTTTTAGCCATCAAGCTAATTGCTTTCAGATTTATTGAAAAATCTACTGAAATAAAAGGAGGCTTCTCCTTAGTTCAATAAGAGACTTAATAATTCTTTGAAAATAGTTTTTGGATCAACTCAAGAAGTAGAATTCTCATTGGTTCCATTTTGTAGAGAGGATGTCGCATCATTGCGTAATGGTCTGAAATGCTAAACATCACGTCAGCACATCAAGTTAAAACATAGCAAGATGAAGGATAAAGAAACGGAGCTAAAAATATTGACAAAAGTTGTAGAAAGTCATAGAAAGAGAGAATGAGAAGAGTGAGATAATGGTCTGAAGAAAGATAATGCAACACTAAGATGAATTCTACGCCATATTGCCTAGAGTTTCTAATCCTCAGTATTCGTTGTCACCTTGAACTTCAACTCGGAGGTCTACACTTTACACCGATGACTATATACTTCATGGAATAATCCCACTTTTTAGTTTGGTCACTTTTAAAGGTTTTCTAGTCTAAACCTATTTCAGCTAACATTAAGCCGTAGGATAGATGGTGAATGGGTATAAATAATACTTATCTCAGCCCCTTGAGTCAATGGTAGTTATAAAGAAGCTTCCGATTTATTCACAATATTACACTAACTAATACGGAGTCTTGTAGCTGAGTAAACAGTGAGGGACAAATAAACTAGTTAAATTCGAGAAAAATCATGTTAATTTATAAGGAATGCTAAATGAATTTGATATGATCTCACAAACAAAGTAAACATGCAACAGAATACACACCCCACCGAAAAAGATATCCCCCTTGAAAAGCATATCTCTGAACATTATTTTAACCATAAAAGTTATGTGAAGTACATTACCAAATGATATGAGCAATTTAATTTAACAACGGGATTAAGGTGATCTAAAAATCAACTTGAAAATTTCGGCTTTTTGAAGCTCTCATTCATCATCTCGCTGGAAAACAATCTAAATGTTTGGATCAACTTGACTTAACCAAGAAGCATTGATGATTTGTATAAGTGGTTTACAATTACTCTAACATGTCAACTGTACTGTAATAATATACTGTACTGTAATAACATAAGTATGGAATTTAGGCATTGTAGTAGAGTTTAATTCCATATCAGTTTGGTCTCTTTGATACCACTCACAATGATACAGTATTATGAAGAGATGTGAGGGAAGCTTCCCTGCTGCCAACACTGTGAAAGACTAGGTCTTCTTGAGGTACTTGAAAAGAAGGGTTAGTGTGTGATCTCTGAGCCCATGGGACATCTGCAAGAGGCCAGTCATATAGAGCCTTTTGATGCCAAGAAAATTGGCCTGTATTATGGAAGGTGTGTTCGAACTTATGTTCTATTATTTTGGATCACCACTGACCACTGATGACTGATCTGGGACACCATGATATATCAGCTGCATTTTTTAAGCAAAATCCTCTCATATATTCATGTCAAGGTGATCACATAACTTTTATAGTTCTACCGCTCCTCATTCTCTGACTTGATTGGTAGTGGAATTTTTCATATATCAAGAATCGGTGCTGAATCATTCCGACTAAATAGGTTAAGCGTTGAAAAGGTTGACAGAGATATAAAACCACACAAAAGGATGGGACTAAGTTATGGTCGTAAACACTAATGTATTTAAATGGAGATAGAGGTTAGTCACTGAATCTCTGTATATATACTGTATTACTGTAGTACTCCTAGTGTTGGAGCCAAAATTGGTATTTAACATGCAACTAATCATTGCCCAAATATTCTGTGTTCTGTAGTAAATCATTGGTGGAATCTCATAGACAGAAGCTTTACCCATCAGAAGTTCTCAATTTTGACTCCTGGTCTATGCATTCATCAAGTCTGATACCTTTCTTCATCCAAACCGAATGTTGAAAAATAAAGCATGGATTACTGGTACTTTCATTTTCGATCACTTATTTGTGTCAAGTTATTCCTAGTTTTTCACTATTCCCTTACATAACCAGTTGTATTTAAGTGAACTTCTGGGATAATTCATATTCACAGAACTTGCAAGAACATCTAGCTTCAGTAGGACATAAAACCTTTGAGCCTGGTATGTAAAAGCATTATTATAATCGATTCCCTTCATTTTTATACGCAACAGAGATCAAAACTTATTAATGAGTTGATCTAATTTCTGAGAAACACTATTACATAATAGTAAATATTTAGTATTTTACTTCGGAGATTTTTGTTATTTTTTCAAAATTTTACTTCTACTGAAGCAGGAGTGATTTACGGACGATAAGAGATGTTCTTAGGTTGGACAGCTGTCATGCCTATCACCTCGACAACAAACTAACATGCATCGAAATGCACCGTGATGGTTAGCCTCCTAGTTTATTATTATTATCAGTTATTTGTCCCTTAGGTTCCTAGTGGAACATAGGGCCTCAGTACCACGTCTCCATTTCATTGTCTTCTTTGCAGTCTCGCTCAACCTGGCTACCCCACTGACCATAACCTTTCATTTCTTCCTCACACCATCTCCTCCACGTCATCCTCGCCGCTGACACCCAACTTGTCATTCTTCCTCTGGGTTCCGCTCGAGGGTCTTGCCTGGAGCGTGATGTCCGCAGTCGGTCTTCTCAATGTATGCCCAATCCATCTCCACTTTCTCCTGAGTATTCGTTTGGTGAATGGTTCTTGGTTGATTCGCTACGGGATCAGCCGGAGTGAGTTCTTTGTTGCTTATTCTTCTTGGCCTTCTAGCTTAGTGACCATATAATAAAATGATTGGTAAAATTTGACCGGCACTCGGGACTAGAACACGTGAAATCTGTGTACTGCTGAGGAGTCCCACACCAGGATGAAACAGCTGTCCAGTGCTGTTAAGTTTTCAATGGTTCTCCAGCTGATGTCAGTGCATGATGAATACTCTCTTGAAAGGAATGAAATCATCATTAATCTCAAGCCGAATAAACACTTCTTTTAAATCAGTTCCTGCTCAGTGGTTGGACAGTAATATGTAGCATTTCCAAGATACAAAACAATTTACCAATCTAGTGGTTAAAAGTTATTTTATAAGAAATTTCTAATTTCACTTTAACAAAAGGGAAGTCACTAAAGTATATCAGGAATAAAGTGACTACGTACTAAATTTTTGGAAGTCCCAACTGATTGTCCCATAACTTGTATTAACAGTATTGGACAATGCAGTGAGAAGCTGGATCCTGAAAGGTCTGGTTCCTTTATAGAATCTACAACAACGTTGAAGAGTGACCATCATCATTTTCAGTTTGGACAGCAACTCTTCCTAGGAGATCATTAGTCCATATGGATAAATGCATAGGATTTTAAGAATCATGATATAATGCACGTTCTTTTTGAAAACAAACATTATCGCAAGGATTCTTCACAGATTTAGGAACATGAATATGATTGCAGGTGATGCAGAATTTTGAGTAAATTTAGAATCGCAATCTCTGTAGTAAAAGTGTAAATGTCTAAGCTGAACCATGTAATCTCCTAGAACCATGTTATGAAGACGTTATTTTACTTAAATCTTTACCCATACTTAATCTATTATTTACCACAAATAGATGCCATTCAAGCAACCAAAAAGTAATGAATCTTTGTTTCGCCTTTTTCTATGGTGCTTGAAAGGTATGTCGCAGCAGCTTAAACTTTCAATCGAAACCAACTTGGGTTATTTTATATGAATTATTCTGCCTGCTTGCTACCTTGTGATATTTATCAAGATTTCATGTCACAATGACCCAATGAACTATGCTGATGGGAACATATGTTCCTCGAGGTCGTACCATATCAGAAAGATCACTATGTTACAATGCGGACGCGAGGGTGAATCCTTGTTGTCGCCTAAACGAGGATGTAACAATAATAAGTCGTTTCTCATGGATAACCAGCAGTGAATACTGATGCTTTCTTCTTCATGGAGATAAGGTGGTTAGGACTGGCCAAAATAAATAAATACTCCAGTCTCAATTTCTTTATAGCATGCTGATGTCGGCGAAATGATATTTTGGAGTCCTTTTTCAAATGATAAAATGCCAAAACAACTATCTTGAAAAGACTGTGTGACCTGACACAACCGTGTTTCCTATGGGCTTCGTGATCACACAAAACTTATCCCTTTCCTTTAACAGCTACCTCACAGGAACAACTTCCACAGTGTATGCCGCCAGAAAGTACCAGCCTCCATAACGCTTCGAAAAGTATGAAAGCAAAAGCAGCAGTGGGTGATGAAAGCGTAAGAGACATAGAAGATACAAACATTAGGCAATGCTCAACAGTTATTCAGCCTTATCATGGATGCTGACAAGTAAAAGATGATGGTTAGTGATACCATCATCACCTGTTACCTAGCATCCAACCAAAACGTTCGATTCTTCAACCCTCCTGGAAGTCAAAAAAACCGTTTCAAACTTTAAACGATATAAAATAGAAGGACCTGACGGTTTTTCACCTGAAAGATAGATAGATAGAAAATCACGAAATAATACAATGGACATTATAAACAGCATATGGGAGTCAGACTTGTGTATATCACTGATCATCCTACTTCATACGAAACAAGAGAGACCTTACTGTTGTAACGACAAATGTATCAGCTAAACTAACATCGTATTCAAAATCTTGGGTTCCATAGTTTTATGATACTTAAATGGAGCTCCAGAACGGCAAACTGAAAAAAATCAGATGATTTCAGATCTGGATCGAGGTTTATTAATCAAGTCTTCACCCTTTGATAAATTCTGGAACATAGACATACTTTCTGACAGCCAAAGATTGCCATATTTCCTATGATGAATGAGGCATGTGACTTCGTTGACCGTGAGGTGTTGCGGCGTTGTCTGATTGTAAAAGGAGTACCACGCAAGGATAAAAGGCTAATCAAAGTTCGTTACTCAAACTCAAGCAGCCATGTGAGGACATATGGAGAGCTGTCATCTGAGTTGACAACGACCATTAGTGTTCGTTACGGTTGCCCACTGTCGCTGTTCCTATTTAAATTCGTGGTAGATATACTGGTGGACATAACCTTAGGTACCTCTGATTTCACAAGGATTGACCTACTCCTTGAAGAGCCTCTGCTTGATTTGGAGTATACGAGCGACGTTCTCCTGTTAGGCGGAGATGCTGGCAGAGTAGAAACTCTTCTGAACGCCTTTATCATAAATTTGAATACCCATGGCCTGCACCTGTCAAACGTAATATTACATTTCAGGACTTATCTGTAGCTACTCTAAGCTAAGGTTTAGGAAGCTAAGTGGTAAAATGCGTCGACCATTTCACTTACCTGAGAAGCCGGATCAAAGTAAGTGACTGTTGATGAAATCTCAGCTTGGATGCAAATGTCAACCTTATATTAGCCAACTCACCTCATTTTTGGTGACGGCGAGATATCTGACTACCTATTAAAGAGGAATAGTGCACTACAGTCCATTTCCTTTTACCATATGGTTTTGAGAAATGATCGCTGAAAAAAATATGATATGAAGGGATTACAAGTTTTTGACCACATGCATCTTCACAGCATTACACATCACAAGGAATCACAATGTGATCAATGTTGATAGCGAGCGAAGGGTAACATGTAACAGTGAGCTTGTGAACCTTTAGAAACTGAGGTGGCTTGGACGTGTGTTGCACATTCTCATCTACCTCCTATCCTGACATGCAATCTTAGCCGAAGAAGGATTGTGATGGATGATGGCTCAGGGTGATCAGACCAATACATAGCATCAGTCCATGAAGTCCTTGACCTCCGTTTTATGCAAAATAGAGCGTAATTTGCTTGGTTAGAACCATCAAGACAGTAGGAATCAATGGTTGAGGACTCTTAATGACGTGGCTGCAAATTACTCACATTGGCACAGATGTTTTTACTCCTTGATGTCTTCACTTTTTATTTATTTCTTCACCCGTACATTTTTGTCTACTTTGAAATCATGTTGTATCCTCTCCTTTTTTACATAAGGGTATGAGTTATGACAACTTGAACCAATGTACTTCGGTGCGGCGTTTTACGCTTGTTTTGTCTGATTGTCTCCCTCTCTTTTCATCTGTTTGTATTGCATGTTACTTCGAGATAAAAACAAGTGTTGCTTTGGTCCGAAAGATTCCCACCAAGATGACAAACTGTTTAGGGCTATAATAGCCAGCTTTTAAGTAAAAATTTACCATCAGTAAGTCAGTGTTCATTTAGAAATCCGAAGAATTATCGAGTTTTCACTTCTGCTTACTCTTTAATAATCTAAAAACCTGGAATAAACTCAGTCAAATAGTTCTTAACCTAAGAATGCTGATTTAAGAATGGTGATCCATGATTAAAAAAGCTTTCAAATATACTGTAAATTCAAAAAATTGGAAGATAAGCTTTAGCTCAAACACGAAAACTATTTTATTTATTTGTTGCACTGGGTGATGACTGAGGATATGATGAAAATTTGGACTGCGGTCGGATTCCAACCAGCAACCATCAGGTTTGAGACCCGGTGTTCTACCAACTGAGCTACACGTCACTAGTTCACATGGTAGTCGAGAAAAACCTCTCATGAATGAGGTGAAATAAAAATCTAGTCAGTAGTCAAACCTCATACCTTAGTTGGTAGAGCATAGGGACAAAAACCCAGTGGTCGCTGGTAGCTGGTTTGAATGATGCTGCGGTCCAAATTTTCATTTCACCTTCAATCACCACCCAGTATAAATACTAGTCTGCCAAACTATGTCTATCTCAGATAGTCAAATGATAATTTGTTTGTTAGTCAACAAGTAGAGAAGATTATAATTGCAACAGAAACCCATATTAGCCTTGCTGTGACTGGTGATTCATCTTCTCTTGTAATTCACAATGCTATTCTTTGATCATAGTGCAGTGAGTTTCTTTGAGCATAGTAATAGTCAGATTAGCTATACAGGCCAACAAAAAACCTGATTCACTACCGTGAGAATCGAATTCGCCTATCATTGTAGCTCTTAGTAAGCTGATGAACAACTTCCTAGTGAAAACGAGCAGTATTGTCACACCGCCTAGTCAAATTGGTAATGCTTTTGGAAACAGACAACTTTGAGGTCACAAATGACAGAATATTATGATAGTTTCGTACATATTTTTTTACCAAGTACTTAGTTCCGGAGCATTTTATTTTGCATTTTGTATTTTATCTTCTTCAGTGAAAAAAGTATAGGCTGACTCTTGTCTAGCCATTGCATGATTTAAGAAATTCAGTATACTGATATGGAGACCGATTCAAAATTGATTTGAACATCCCAATCTAAAAGTCTGAGCATCAGTGATTGGAAATTATATTTACTGATTGTGATCCACGCTTGTAAATCCCAAATATGTTCTTGGGTATTCTATGGCGTTAATTAGCATGGTATGCGGGATAAAAACAGGCAGCGGAGGTCTTCATATATGATTCAGAGGCCGAGATAAATTGCACAGCAGTCAGTATGGATAGAAGTGTTGTTAAAACTGGTCCATATGCCATGTTAGATCGTTGACACAAATAAGACCATTATCCAGTACTTGGTTCTACCCAAAATTTGACCATAGGTGTGACAACAAGTCACATATTCAATGCTCTGTGCACATCAAAGTCCTATGTAGAGGAAGAATAACATGTTTTAGGCCTTTGTTCCGTTTATCAAATGGAAAGATGATTTCATACGATCGACGCGTATTCCTAAAATTAATTCAAATGCAATCCCCCTCGTCAGTTAGCCTTCATTTATGTACTAATCTTACATTGTTGTACTTCAAGCCAGATACAGCTGGTGTTCAAGCCTAAATAGATTGCAGAACATAGCAGGTTATACTACTTATCATGAGGACAAACGATAGCGGTTTTGGTCTTTGTCAAGAACTGACATGATCTCTAAAATTCCAAAGTAAATAAACTGAACTTCATCATCCAGTTCAATGTCATTAGTTATAAAAACTTCGAACCAAACAACTAGAAGGTGAACAATTAACGTCTAAAGACACAGTAATTTGTAGTAGCATTTTGACCGGTGAATATAAAATCTTGATCGACAGCATACTGGTCTAAGTTTTCAGACTTGAAAACAGCATGATAAAAGGTCGACGGACGTTAAAAGAGCATTGAAATGAGCGAAATTAGCATGCAGAAGAAACACTAAATATAAGTTAACAAGGTATTTAAAAGTTGTCGCAGAATTAGTAGTGAAAAGCATCTCAGGTCTGTCTAACGCGTAGCTTATCCCGCCTGGAATAAGTGTCCAATTATTTATACTATCTTTAATACATCGGTCAGAATAATGGTTGGTGATTTTATGGATTAAAGTACCTTTGTCGTCTTTGCAACCTAATCCAGATAGTATTACACTATACCGCTAATGTTTGTCAAAAGTAATTGCTTCATTAAGCACAGACATCAAAAAGGTTAGACATTTTAAACTTACTCCAAGTTTGTCACATAACACAATGGTAGCATATGAACCAACTGCGAACAGTTGACCATCTGGTGACCAAGAAAGTGAAGTAACTGGATATTCCAAGAGGGAACTTGAGTACAAGAGCCTTCCATAACCATCCCACACCTCAAAGCCTCAAATGAAAAACTGCAGCATATTACCTTGTATTTGCAGTCCTCAGAGCCAGAAATTAAAATGTCACTGATAGTATTCCAATCAACTTTCAAAATCACACCATCATGACCTTTCCACTGTAGGTAAAATTGCAAATTAGCGGCCAAATAACTTACAACAAGAGGCTTAGAATTCGCTTGAAGAGACTGTATGACCAACTGCTTGTCAAGGGAAAATAAAATCGCACTAGAATTAATGCCCCATGCGAGTGAATAGATGGGATAAGCTGGTGATGGAAAAATAGGCATTCATATTTATATGAGGTTTCTTACCATTTTGACATAGGGTGGATCTTAGCATTCCACTTCCAGACCAAATTTTTATTTGTCCATCTTCTCCGGCTAAATGAAACAGATTTAATATATAAAATCTACTTACAGGTAGCGAAAGAAGTTCCGTCAGAATTCCATTTCACTGATAAAACAGCCCCCTGATGAGCGTCAGATGACCGTTCTATTCTTCCCCTTTTGGAGATAATGTAAAATTTGCCTATCCTATTAGAGGAACTATGATATGAATTACCGTCAGTTGCTCCAAGTAGAAAAATCTCATAACCTGAAGATGTTTTATTCGTGTTTTTCATTCTTTGTCTTGAAAGCCAATCCATATCTGTTGGATATACGTTTTCAGGTAGCTTGAAACTCTCTACTATTTGCTGTGAGGTGAGATTCCAACACTTTACTGCTTGATCATCAGCGATGGAAATAATTTCATCACTTGACACCCAGTCAACCGAACTGGCTAAGTCTCTATGTACGGTGTGTTAAGGAAACATATCAATCTTCTGACGAAAAATTTATTTGACCTCAATAAAAGGATATGAATTGCTTCTTCATTCATAACTATCTTCAACCTCATGGTTGAAAAATACACAAGTGATACTATAGAGAACCAAACAAATGAAGTAGAGAAAAACAAAATAATAGATTTCAATATCCACTGTTTTATCACGGGTTACTGTAAGCCAATTCACTTCTTCGTGCTTGCTTATAGATCTTGTAGTACGGTTTCAGGCCTCTGATGTATTCTGATGCAGAAGGTCTACCCACTCTCCTGCTCTAGTCAGCCTGATGGGCAGTTGGATATTGATAAAATTTTCAGCGATTGCATTACTTTTCCGAGAACTACGGTACAGATGGGTTTCCCAAGTATCGTGCTACCAGATAAGCCTTTAGTTTGGCTGTTAAAAGAAGGTAGAAAAGATGTCCAGCGGAATCAAGGAAGAGGAGGCGGTACGAAAAAAACCCAGGGTGAAAGTAAGAGGAACGGAAGGCAGGGAAAATCCTATGTAGATTTATGGGAGGCATGTGATGGGTAACGTCTTAATAAATTGGGTGAGAGCAAAGTCATATGGGAGAGGAGGGACAAGTAATACTGTAGGATCGGTTATCGGAATAGAAACAACAGTGCTATTAGTGAGGGATGACAACTGGGGGTGAGATGTCTGACAGGAAAGTATAAGGTTGAGTCAAGTTCACAATGATATCAGCGACACAAGGGATCCAGTGTAGAAGTGGCTGTCCTGGACTGTGCTGAGTTGGTTGGTTGTGTCAACCTACCCCATTTCCCAGCTGGATGAGCGGAAGTGGTGAGTCGCTGCGTAGTTGTCCAACCCCTCCTTGAAGCTGTCGAGAGACGGCACAGTGGCGATCCCGGTAGGCAATGCATTCTAGTGGCCACAGACTTGTGGCGAAAAAACATTTCAGGCCACAATGGTTCTTGCTTTCTGACGGACGATTCTTCTTGGGTTGCCATGGGGATTGCCACAGTGGCCGTTCGGTAGGATTCCACTTTTCGGATAACCTACTTTACTTAGTATTCTGTAAGCAGTCGTCATGTCGCCACGTAATTGTGGTAACTAAGAGATTAGAGCCCTAGGTCTGTCAGCCCATCCTAATAGGTTTTTCACCTCATTCCCAAGACACCCGTCGTTTCTGTTGTCTGGCATTTCTATAGAGGCTTCATACCTCTTTTCAGGCATGGCGGCGCAAGCGCGTGGTTTAATTTGTTGAAATGATCATTGGTGGAGTAGAAGAAGATTTCGCTTAACTGGCCTCCACGTCCGTTCGGTAGGATTCCACAGTTCGGATGACGCGGATTACATGACATTTTGCGAGTCATTGTCGAGTCACCACGTGACCTATGGTGGCTAAGACAATACAGTCCCACGCCTTCCAGCCTGTCCTTGTGGGGTTTTCGCCACGCTCTCACAACCTCTGTTCCCCGCCTCTGGACTTTCACCAGGAGGTTCGAATTCGTCTTCCAGTATGGTGGTGCAGCGACGCTGCGGACCTCTGGGCTAGGTCGTACGTAGGTTTTTTACGGCTTCGGGGAGAGCCTCGCAGCGAAGAAACTGGTCGGCTGCTCAGGAAGTGGAGAAATGTTTGGGCTCCTGAGGCACCTCCAGGACAATCGAAATTGGTATCCAGCTTGTCGGTCAGTGTCAGTTCCACGCCCTTCTCCGTGATATGCAAAAGTTGCATGTCAGAGATGTCACGATGCGTTTTGAGAGTTACGGGTGTGGACGGACATGGCTCAGCATTTATGCAGGTTAAATGCTAGTTATTTATTACCCAACCAATCCGCAAGCAACCTGAGATCATGTGTGGTACAACTGTTTCTGCTTTGGAGGTTACGGTTGTCAACAGCTTAGTGTCGTCAATATACTATAAAATCGAAGAGCCCGGACCCAATTGGGGGATGGTTTGTACATACGCATGGTGGTCTGCTGACGTTAACTAATCTCTGCAGGTGATAATGTTATGAAAACCAATTTATCATGAGCGAATTCTGAGTTAAAAGTTAACGCACAGTGATAAGCCTTCGTCTTGCTAGCAGTATTTTGAGTGAAATAAAAAATCTATCTCTGTGCAAACTCATTGATGAAAAATTTGCTCATGATAAACTAATTCATTGCACAATGTAAAATGCTTCGTTAATGTTACAAAAGCTTCAGCGGGATGCGAGCATATTTACTCAGTCGGGGCTCCACTGATCCACAAAATCTTCAAAATTGGGGACACTTGTAGCAGAAATAGTGAACCACTGTTGTTTTCATTCCACGTCTGTTTTTTGGTAACGTTTCGTCTTTCGAAACCACCGAAGTGTTTTCCTACCCCAAGAAGCCTAAATGGGTAGAGATGAATAACCGTCGCGCATTGGCCCTCTCATAGTATTGCAGCTACCTAAAGTGTGTGTGACCAGAAGGAGCCTTATGATCACAGCTTGTGTGAACCACAGAGCCCAAAGCAACTGTCTAACATGCATCTGAAAGCTCCGGCAGAAGCGGCCGTAACGACTTTCCAAGAGGAGTTTCACAGTTCAAGTCTACCTGGCGCGGTTTTTCCTTCGCGCTCTTCATGCTGTTTCCTAAGAGATGACCTCACAGATCAGATTTTGACTGCAGCCCAGTAGGGACCTGTTAAGATGGAATCGGCTGTAAGCAATATATAACAGCATGGTTGTCACCTCCGGTAAGCTTTACCTTTGCATTTTCTGGCGTAGTGTTGCCAGAACTGGTAATCTTACTGCCCCAACCACTGTTAGTACAGCCATTTCTAGCTGTACGTAAACGCAATCCAGCCCGACTCTTTAGTCGCTCATGAAGCTACACCTGCCGATACTAACATCTCTTACCCCAGAGATAACCAAAAACGAAAACCTGCCCTTTGGCAGCAAGTTCGCTAGGCGTAGACGGGAAAGGCTCTACCCTTTAAACCTATGAAGTTCTCGGAGAGGGCAAACTTTAAACGCATTTTGTCTAACGATGGCCGGCAATAATTCCTGGTTAACATGCTCACAATACGAGAAAGTGCCGCCAGGCTTGCGGGAAATAGGGTGATTCGAAAAGAAGACCCACCCAAAGGATACATTTCCTACTTAACCCTGGCCGTTAGGAAGCGGTACTATGATAACTTAGAGGTACCCCACATCAGATAACACTCTGGACCACGTTTATCCAGCCATAGGGGCCCTAATATGATGCCGTGTGCCATACTGAATATCTTAATGCCCTGCGTGTCACATACATCTCACCCAAATCTACCTCTGCGCTCGGATAATCCCAGTAAGTACCACTGGGGCACTGCGCAATTTCTCCCTAAATACTACCCCCACTGTCGAGCTTCATCGCAATTCGTTTGGGATCCCGCACAATATGTACAATCCACGAAACATAGGAAAGTTTCGCCCCCCAGGAACACGAGCTTGGAGCTACCATCGTCGATCTACACCGGTCATAACCCTTACCATACGTCACTGGTCAGAACGAATCGTGAACTGGCTATGTACATGTCCCTTCGAAAATCAGGCGATCCTAGATCGTTGAGCAGCGAAATCTGACAGATTACATCATCGAACACTACCTCTGAGTCTCAGCACGTCTCTACCGCAGGTAGCGAATTGTCTAATGAATTAAATACAGGAAGCCTCCCTGACCAACTAGAAGCATAAGATATTTTACAATACTTCACAAGTCCTAGTAACCCCTCCAAGCTTCTGCCTATCACTACCCGCTCGTTGCCTAAGAAACTTTCTAACCTGAGAACGAAGTTTTTGCCAATTGAACTTAGAGTGATATGAGTCACCAAACCATGGTGCCCCACCTCAATCCCTGATTTAGGCCTGTGCGTAGATGGTTATATTCTTCATCACACTAGCCGGCACCATTAGCGTGGTGAAAGTTGCCTAATTTATATGTGCAGCCTTGCCACAGTCAGTGAGATTGAAGACAGCAAATTAAACGCACTGTCCGATTCACCATGAGTTATTATAAAAGGTACTTAATATAAAATCCTCCCAGACTGTGTTTACAGAGCGCCAAGTTAAACAAGGGGAACTAATGAACGTATTGCCCAATCGTTTTCCCGCGCTGCACTCGTCAGTGTTGACTTCGAACTGTTTGTGTGGGGCTTTTGGCCTTCCAAAAATAACTAGGGAGCTAGCTGTGGCCCAAAAGGCAGCGATGGAACAATTAATCCCGTAGACTTCTGCGGGTGGAAACGACGCGCCCATCCACCAACATGTCAAGGCAGCAGGCCGGATCTGTTCTTGTGGCGTGGCATCACCCCAGTCACCAGGTACATCAGTGGTTAACTCACCAACACTGGCCTCAGAATCCTTTTCTGTTCCCTACCCACCTTTCTTCTTCGAGGGAAAAAATAAACCTGCTACAAACATCCTGTATCTTAGCTGCAAAAGCATCGAATGGGACGTATTTATCGAGCCCCTCATGCTCACCCCACTGTATGAATACCTCATAACAGCCCCATTAACACAGTCACCTTCATTTTTCTTCGGGAATATGAAGCTATGTTTAGATACAGTTGCCACTTTGAGGGCGGTTGAGGTGAAGGGGAGTCGGGACCAATAAGTCCCCCAAACAGTCCGTAACAAACTGAGGGAATTATCTGGGCCATGTCACTCCTCCAAAGAATTTCTGGTACTGCACCCAATCCACGATAGTTACCAAGCAATTAAGACCACTTGCATGAAACTCAATAAACGAAAAACGTGATGCCCTCGAAAGCGGTTCTGGACTGCATAGTTGACCTCCCTTTTGAATAAACATTTGCAGTCATTGAGAGACAGCTTATTTACTACACAGTCGGATGGTCTGCAACAGCCTCCTCGAAATTCGTAAGTTATCTGGCGGATCGTCCGCACACTTAACCTCACCACTTTTATCGCGCTCACTACAGGTTCATGCGCCATAGTAGGATTTATTGTTAATAGTATCACAGTGGCTATCAAGAACTCACGACTATCAACGGGTGTGTGAAAAGATTACCTAAATTCAATCGCCACCAGAAACAGTGGCGATGATACTTATCCTTTCTTGCCTGAGATCTTCACTTTGTGAACGGAAAGTGAAGTATATCCCAATGCATTCGGAACCGGACA